TCCACCACCTCCCTCTCAGACACCATCCTCGGCGCCCTTATCTTCCCCACGATCGCAGCAGCAATCGGCGAACTCCTACGCCAAACCCTCCCCGCTTCCTGGGTCAACCCCCCGTCTGGCTCCCCAGCCGTCTCCTGGCTCGGCGGCTGGGTCAAAAATGGCGGCAGCAGGATTGGAGGCGCAGCCAAGCCGACGGGGCTCCTGCAAACGCGCTGGGGCAGGAGTATCGTCGGTGGATGTCTTTTCGTCGGGCTCAAGGACGCGGTTATGCTTTACGTAAGGTGGAGGACTGCACAGAATCATCGCAAGAGGGGGATTGTGGACTATGAGGGTGGAAAGAGTAGGAAGGGTGTGAAGGCTAGGTAGAGATAATGGGTTCATGGGTTGCGACGGATGTGGGTTTCCCGTCTTTGTATTATAGGCTCCAAGGCAATTTAATCAGTTCTTTTGATCATGTCATTGTGTTGGTGTTGGGAAATTGAGACATTGTGCAGTTTTTTATTCTCCAACAAGATAATGCTTAGGCTACTATCCAGCATCTGTCCCACCACCTTTCAAGAAAAAGTCGAGTATACTAGGTAGCGACTAGTGGCGCACGACACCCTTGCAATGTTAGTCTTAGTGGCACGCCCACATAACATCGTAGCTTCATGCAGTGCAAAAGCTCTAATTTCGATGTTCTGCAAGCAATGGGTCTGGGTGACAATCACCGTGGCTAGGATCGTTGTCGCTTACAAAGTATCAGTTATATCGCCGATCGAAGTAGTAGTATATCACTCCAAGTCACCAGTGAGTGGTAGGCGTCGCGGTACAATGGCAGGAGCTTTTTGGTATAGTTTCGCAGCCGCTTCATGATCAGCTGTTCAACTTTTTGAGCATCCTAGATGTGTGCGTAGTGCTTATATTGTTTGTTATGCTCGTTCTTACGGCCTCACGGCTTTGGTGGAGGCTCTGGGACCTAAATTTTGTCGTCCTCGTCGTTGTAAAAGATTACATCTGGTGCCTTCTCATATCAATTAACCCAGGCAGGAATTTGGACGTCTTTGGGAGTCTCTAGAAGCATAGAGATGAGGGGTTTTAATCGGTTGCGCTCACTGTGCTAACGTGAGATCAATGAAGGAGCGACATCAGATAGTGACATATGATCTTCATCAGTGAGAAAAACACCATCCCAGAACGCAACTACGGGCTGTAGACGATACTGAGAGCAGTAAGAGTGTCTGTCTGACGCTTGGGATTATATTGGGTTTAATTGGAATTGTGTAGCTACAAAGTCGTGACGCTAGCATGAGGCAGCGGCTTCAGTGGAGCTGGTCTGTACGCTGGTGCTCGACCTTTTCTGAGAAATGGTGATCCCTCCGCAGCGGATATTAGGTGCGTCATCATTAAACTCAACCACCATATACCATAGCCATAGGTTCTTAAGCACGCGCGCCCTCGAAGGATCGCAAGCTCGGTCACCTCGGATTATAGACAATACCTATGGTTTTTCTTATTGCATAACCCTACACTGATATGTGTAACAAGAGGTATAAGAAACAAGTGGTCACATAGTTTTGTGTGTGTGGCGTATGATATAGAGAAAGGACAGTGATTTAATTAAGCCTAGCGATAAGGGCGGGTGACTACTGTCTTCGAGGGTCTGGTAAGTTCTTGCTACTTTCATTTCGATACCCTCTAGACCCTAATCTACTCGACGCAGATCCATCGCCCGTTCTCTTGTTCGTTGGTTGAATCCCTGTGACAAGAGTTCTGCGACGCTGGTCCGAAGTACGTGCCGTAATCTTTGCCGTAATCATTCCTGCAGTTATGTGATGAAAGTTGTGGAACATAACACTGATAAAAACAGTCAGTAACCACTAGTTCTTAGACTCTAATGAGAGTGGAGTGAAGAGGGCGTGGTTGATAATGTTGGTACGTACGCATTCCCAGTGGGCTTTGGTTTCCTGCCCGGATCTGCCATTTCTAGTTGTAGGACAATCAGTTGTAGGAGCACCACCCGGCGTAGTTCCTAAGCAACAGACTGCTGAGACAGTGCTAAGGAAAGGAGACACGGCGAGGAAGAGTAATCCGATCATTATAGACGATGAGAACTCAAATAGTACTATAAAGGTCGGTTATTGTGTAGGTAGCGATAAAGATAGGATACTGATTCTGGTAGAGCGATTGAGTATAGAGCAACACAGGAGCAGACCTTGGACGACTTATATACTACTGCGATAGATATTGAACTACTATGCTACATGGCACAATTGATGTATGTGGGTCCACTAGTACGGGACGATATAGTCCGGTAAGCCGCGGTAACATGTAAGAGCTAAAGGATCTTAAATACCGTCTTAGCGTCTCTATAGTATACATGTCACGATATTCTGAACCAAGAGACTGATCCTTAGGGATTTATCGGGCACCTCTTAGCATGGCACAGTCTTTTTCACGTGTATAGGAGTATATAGTTGTAACCACCCCTACGAAGACCCCTCAAGGATTCGTCTTAGTTCTACTCTTTTAATGTATATCATGCCTATCCGCGAAACACCTTATGATAAAACTTATAATAGATAGCACAGTAAGCATATAACTCCTTACGACAAAGATGAAAAGAGATAGTGAGGCGGGACTTACTCGGTGCTGTGACAGTCTATAATTTTAGTACTGAACGGGTGTGGAGCCTGTAGTAGCTACAAGTTCTACTATGGTGGACGCTGGCACAGATCTCGTTCTTAGAATTGCTCGTGTCGTCACAAGGAGAGGACTAGCAAAGAGAGTAATGGCGGCGCTAGTTTAAATATGAAGAGTTGCATATCTTTCTACTACATGAAAGCTCTCCATCTGATAGCCCATTAGTCCAATCGTGGTGTCAGCACAAGGGTCGCTGGCCACCCTGTGCACCGGCACAGTACCAGAGACTAAAGTTTGCATTTTTAGCATCTGTACACAAACGAGGTCCGAGTAATATTACTCAATCCTAGCGGCACTAATACAGTTAAGTCGTACGTATCACACGGGGTTCCAAAAGTATATACTCTACCTATCTTAATCTAGATATACTAGTGCTAACAGTCTTTTAGGAGGTTTATTAGTAGAGTAATATAGAGTAAGGAAAAAACTTCAAAAAAAGCTAATCCTCTGATGTATCTTTGAGAGCAAAAAGAAGACTGGACGCTGTGGGAATTGAACCCACGACCTTTCACAAGTACGCACATGGATAGTATGCGAAGCGAAAATCATACCCCTAGACCAAGCGCCCTTGCAAATTTTACAAGGAATTTTAAAAATTTGAACTTATATCGTAATCTGACCAAGACCGCTACGAAGCAGTGCAGAGTAAATGCCTAGAGAGTCCTGGACTCACAGAATTTGAAGAATCAAAGGATTTGTGAACAACCTCCTCAAACGTATCTCGGTGCGTCGTGCAGTTTACCGGAAAACCTAGACTATTTTTGACTTGGGGCGCAGGTGTCACGTGATGTACCAATTAACCAAGACTTGACTTCCATGGTTTCGATAGAGAAAAAGTAGACGGTTATGCTGAGATATGCAAAGAATCAACGGGAAATACTAGATAGTATAGGTGGTAGGATTGGTAACAGTAAGGATACAAGGATGAACGGATCCTACTTATCGCATTCGATGCAGTAAACTCGTGAAGTGTACTATAATTTCCTTTCCCACCCTTTTACTCCATAGATTTATCGGGATCTTACATCTTGGTATATTTGACAAATGCTCGTAGTTATTCGTCGAAATCCTCATAGTGCATCATCGTCAGCCTCGCCTCGGTGCGGACCGGGACACAGTAGTGTAGTCATAGTCCCACTCTATGTAACAGTACGAAGTCACGATTTGCCTTGTTGCAAGTATCACGCGCTTGTTCATGCGTCGTCACCATTGCAATCGACATCTGATATAAGAATAACTTCGCAACGTAACTCACGAGGAGAACGTAGTCTACAGTGGTCTTCCGCTACAGTTCTCACATCATAGCTAGGAACAATTCGCAAGAGTAGTGTCTTGCCGTAGAGGTTTCTCTGTAGTACCGTATTTTGAACCTCGGTATGAGCTTTCAAACCCACCTTACTCTCAATTCTGGATTAGCCTCATGGTAACCTCGGCATTTTGATCAATATCAACGTAAATCAACGACTGTTTCTTGAAATCCTCAAGGATAAGCAAACATGTTTGTCTCTACACAAAGTCTTTCGACGGAATATCAGTGTTTGGAAGACCGAAGTCCCGACGGATATAGTATGTTATAACTTGATTTACGTTTGCGCTTACAGTTACGATTGTTCCGCGGAAGAGAATTATTTGTGCAGATACCTGTTTTCTTATCTAACAGCAGCTTCTCTGCAATATTTTATATTTCGTATACATATATACAGTACCCCGCTGATATAGACAAATTGTAACAACCCGAGACCTTCGTTGTAGTGTCGTTAGAGCTGCTCTTGTCGGCATGTTACAAACGTCTCATGTCTTTCGATTAAATTCCCGTTAAACTGCAGACAGGTGATCAAGCAATGACTTAAGAGTTTATTGGAGTACTTGGCCCCTTCCTGGTATGTAGATTGTTGCGTCCACCTATCTGCAAAGTGGCACCTGTACCATCCTTGTGCGGCGCGGCCTACTCTGCATCTCTGCCGCATCTGCCAATGGACTTTTGATGTACGATGAGAGCAGCTAGGGATCTAAGCCTATCGGATATAATTTCGAGAGCCCATGGCTGGTTTGACGTAGGACGGATTAAGATACGGGTGGTGTTTATTGCTGATGAAGAAGAGGCGATGTAGGCCGATGAGGTTTCCATGTTTGGGCCTGAGACGTGAGCACGGTCAGGGCACTGCAGACGCTATTGAACTTTGAAAGCTTGGCCATAAATTATCATTCTATTCGATTGTTCATTTCATATTCAGACTGCCCATTGCCTGTTAATTATGCAGTCTCTACATTCCTCCAATCATCCATCATAATCTTCCGATCTTCTCATCTCCACTAATTTAAACCTTCTTGCTAGTGGTTTCCTCGCTGTGCTCCTTGAGTGGGTGTTCGGGGTTTGAGCTCAGGGTGTCCTTAGTATTGTCACTGGACTTCTCGGCGCCCTCCTTGGGTCCAGCGCCCTGCTGGTTGACGTTGTCGGAGATCTGACCGGCTTGAGCACCAGACTGGCGCTCGGGGTCGGGAGACTGGCGACCGGCGTTGGGGGCAGACATTTTGGTATGGGGTGTTGATTAGGTAGAAGAGCTGCTCGGAGTTAGTACTTGTTGCTGGATATGAAAACAATTGCCAGTAAAGGAGTGAATGTTAGGCTTGAGAGTGCAGAGAAGTCGCGACATGTTCCAATTGTGCTCCCATAAAGAGGATCCAGACAATGAATTTGACTTCTGACATGATCTGAAGCATTGTTTCCTTGGGAATGCAAGTGCAGGTTTGGGGTTGTGAAGAAGCTCATGTACAGCTAATGGGACAGACGCGATAAGAGGAAAAGAACGTACGTTTGGTGTAGGAGTTAGAACTTCTGTCTTCGATTAGCTCCTTTTGGACTGTGACTTGGATTTGATAGCAGATACTCACTGGAAATGTAAATGTCAGAGACGGTTGCAAGCGTGGGTGTAATGGTTCTCAAGAAGAGCGGCCCCTTGTGCCTTTTCATCTGCGAAGCTGCCCCACTGCACCTGACGTCACTTTCAGATCGGGCAACATCGACGTCAACCTCATCAAAGCGCTGCACGTTGCATGGCGCGCTATTGTGGGCCGGGGTGGTTGGTGCTTAGCAAGCGCAGAAGATGCTTGCTGACAACATGCCGCCGTCTGAATACACGCGTACCCGGTGGTTCTTATCATTCAACCATATCGAAGCCCGATCACACATGTCATATTGCTGGGTGTCTGGCAACTACATATTTCAAAGGCCCGGGGGGTCCTATACTGGTCCCTCACTTACGTCAACCCATAATTGTTGTATTTGGTAGTCAGATGTATGTGCTACCTAACACAATAGCTATGTGCTTCGTTTCCCCATTTCTACGTCTACGTCGCCTCCGTCTCCGTCGTCATCCCATTCACTTCCCTTTAATCGTTTGCCCAACCAGATGCCTAGAGCTGTCGCTGCGCTTGCAGCTAGGAACCAGCCCTCAAACCATCTCTCTGTAAATCTAGGCTCTAACGGCGCACCCAATGCATCCCCTATCTTGCTCTTCATCTCCGGTGGCAGATTACTACGCAGTAACAACGCCGAGCTGATGACATATGTTGCTGCGACCTGCGAGATGATAAGTGCAAAGTTTGTTTTCGCGTGGTACAACAGGCCAGGCACAACTTTCGCAAACAGTAAAAATGTCTGGAAGACGCTGTTGAACGAGAGAAGGAGCATGACGCCCGAGAGTAGGAAGGAAATGGTACGACTCCATGCTACCCGGTCAATGGTCGGATCCCAGTGCTTTGCTAGGAGAGCGAGGAAATTGTTAATTGGGTCACTGCTCGAGAAGCTGGCGTTGGGAGACGAGAGGCGACGGAGAGTACTGATGGTTGTTGCACCGATGCGGTACGCGCAATAGATTGCAAATACATAGGAGAACATGTTCAACAGCCGTCCATGTGCAGTGTGTGCGCGGAGCTGTGATTGCCGTCGGTTCTGAAGCACAGTCATTGAATTCTGCAGTGAATGACGCATCGTCTCGAGTCCCTGTATTTCCAACTGCAGAGTGCTTCGCTCCTGTGCATCCGGATTGGCACGAATCGAGCCGACCACTCGGCCCATGAAGCCCTGTTGAGGATTCTCTGATAGCTTACGTTCGATTGCGCGAAGTCGGCTTTCCTTGACCAAGAGCATGTCGTTTGTTGCCTGAAGCCCAGCCTGTTTGCGAGCAATATCTGATTCCGTGACCTGTAGAGTTTAGTTTATTAAGCACAATCTGTCGAGTCAACAAAAACTCACGGGTTTGTACCGCACACCAAACGTGTGCCAGAGTGCGGATATGGCAGCAAAGCCGGCGAGGGAAGCCATCAAGCTGATACCAATGATTCCGATTCTTTCAAGACAACCTTCGCTAAAAGTATGAGAATGCTCATACGACGCTTCGTGGAGGTACGAGCCTAGAATGCCTCGTCCCAGGTACCAGAAACAAACGAGCCAGACTGCCAGGCCGCATAGCTCCAAAGCCCATGCTGCTCTACGGCGCGATGAGCGTTCTCCCCGAAATTCCAAGCCTGTTCCTGATATGAAGGAGTGTATCTCGAAGGCCGGTGTTGCGACGACAAGGAGGAAGAGTAGCGAGGGCAGCGTGATCTTGAGAGCTAGGGTCCGAGTAGCACGATCAATCGTGTTTGAGATTTCGCATAAAATCAGTTCTACCAGCACAGCAGAGAGGGCAAAGTTGGTGGAGAATATGATGCTTGCGAGCGAGGTTGCAGTCGGGCGCAAGGTCCGGAAGAAAGAAGCTCTGTCGCGCTGGGCCAGGCTGGAAGGACGTGGGGGTTCATGCTGCGCTTTGCGATGTGCGTGGCCCGATAAGATAGGAAACAGTTTGTGCGATACTACAAAGGCCACTCCGAGAAAGGTGAGGATAAAAGGCAAGGCGGAGATGGCGACAGCCATAGGACTTTGTTGGCGAGCATAGTCCGGCACACACTCATCGCAGTCGTCTGGGTTCGGCGGGAACATTGGATGTACGTAAATGCGGGTGTTAGTGCCAGTTGGTCCTGGTTAAGGGGGAAGCGGGAGTATCCATCAATGACGAGAAACAATGTGGCTACGTTTACACATCAGAGGTGGTTTTGGTTTGGAGGTGCAAGCTTACTCACACCCAACTGTCCGAGTCCGAGGCGGCCACAGCAACAGCCAGGAACGCGCCGGCGAGCTGTGGCACCCGCAGCCCGCAGCCACACGAAACGTCATCATTGTCGATCAGGCAGGGATCTACCAGCCAAGCACCCCCACATGCCACTGCACTAAGTAGAGTCTAAGTATCACGGAGAATGCACATCCAAGTAGTTTGCATCTTGTACGGCACCAGGACATGGCCTTGGAGACCTCAAATAAATATGGGTATTGCTAGTCAACTATGTTTCTGGTGCACCCTTTCCAGCGGGTGCCGCATCTTCAGACCCCTCCTGAGCTGCTTTTATGAGACTGTCCACGTACGACTTGGAGCTCTCCTGCGGCTCGGGACTCTCTGCCGGCTTGGGCTCTTCGGTGCTTGCATCAGCATTCTGTGACGCCAAATCTACAGTAGACATTCCAGTCGTTGTTGAGCCTTCGCCCCGCTCGTCTTCGTCCTCACTGCTGGACTGGCTGCTCAGTTCGGGGCTGTCGAGATTCTGTAGATGTGGGCTCTTCATCATGGGGCCTGGACTCCGTGGATCATCTCCAAGCAATGCATCGCTGTTGCCCGTCTCCAGCTCATCGTCGCTGCTATCTTGCGCACGCTCAACCTGTGCCAAGGGGTGCGCTGTTTCTGCGACTGGCTTAGGTGTTGTCGCGGCTGCTCCAACCGTCGCTGCCTCGTCTTCGTTCGCAAAGAAGGTGTTTCGCGGGCTGTCGTACTCTGGCAGTCTCTCACTCTTCGCAAGAAGCTCTCGGTAGCCCTGCCTATCGGGATCGTTCGTGCGCTTGCTCTTTGCCTTGTCGCGTTTGGATGTTGGTCGGACAACGATGACAGGGACTGGCGAATGCTGCAGACAATACTTTGACACACTTCCGGGAAGCAACCCTTGGAAGCCACCTAGACTTTTGCCTCTTGTGCCGACCACTAGAATCGCGGGCTCGTAGAGGTTAATCTGCACTATGGTCAGCCCGAACACCTCACATGCACCATGCCATCCTCACCATGTCGTCTATGACCTTGTTGACCTTGCCTATTGAAAATTCTAATATCAAGTTGATAGCCTTGTTGTCGTGATTGCGGCTCTGTATATCTGCCATTGTGTTCTCAGCCTCAACGCGATACCGGCCCGACTCAACACTGCGGTCTCCGGCTATTGCGTCTTCTTTTTCGACTACGCGCAGGCATACTATCTCGTCGCCGTCGTCCACCAGCTCGTTAATGAGCCACTGAAGGGCATATACTGAATACTCGTTCTCGTCGAAACCACACAGGAACGTCCGCGAGCGCTTCGTGTACTCGTAGTCTTTGTGTTTGGCGATGAGTGTGAAGGAGCTCTCTTCTATAAAGTCGGCAGGCTTGTCAAACGTGTCAAAAGACACTCGGTTCTGGAAGACGCTGGACTCGCTGGTTAGCTTTGGTTTGCGCAGACTGAGCCTGGGAGACTGAGCAAGTCTGACGTTTAACCCCCAAAGCCAAGCCAAGCGTGCTTGCTCTTGGTTGCAGTTGTTCTTTACATATGAACAGAGGGCCGAGGTTATAACGGAAAAGCGCACGCAAACATAGCCATGAGAAATGCATCGCTGGGGTAGTACTTACGGTGGAGGCGGCGGTGACGATAGCCGACGTCGCTCGCGGGGTCTGGGTGTGCCTCTCGGTAATGATGCATTCCTATGCGCCAGAAACTGAATTGTCGACGGCCGCCGTGTCTCCTCGAGTGCGGGCTTTGCGCCAGTGGCAGTCTGTAGCGGGCTGGGTGGAAAGGGACCTGAAGACTTGCGCGGCGCTGGGGAAGCATGGCGGCCGTCCTTGGTCTTTGGCGAAGCACTCATGGTGGATTTTACAGAGACAAGCAGCGAGAGCACTTGAGGTAGGGTTGGGTACTACAGTAAGAATTGTGTTGCAGGTCTGCCGGCGCCAGAAAACCCCACTGGCAATGCGCGCGTGCACTGGCAACGGGATCTGCTGTGCGTCGGATGAATGCCCTTGGCGCGGGGGAATGGGAGCTCGCGGGGTAGTTGGGGATAACTAGCGATGGTGTGGGTAACGGGCAGAAGACGTCTGTCTGCTGTAGGTCGCGGGTGGAGGAGGGTGGGCAGCGGGAAAGAGAGCATCTACTTAGTCGCTGTCAATGCGCTGCCTATTCTGAGTGACGGCAAGCGCTTGGTGATGTGTCGAACCATCCGCCATGCCTTCCAGACCCTGGCCTATTGGAGATCCACCCGTTTGGCGCGTTTGGCGCATCGGACGTCCATGACATACTAGTAACTTTATGAGAAAAAAAAAGAAGCACATGTACACATACACAAATGCACCAATGTCCCATTCTAGTAATGACACTTCGGGAATAGTCAACACACACCAATCACAAGTAAAAGTGTCATCATTCAAGTCTACATGTCTATCGTTACCTCCTTCACAAAAGTCTAGGCCAAGGCGCGGAGTTCGCCCTGGCTGAGCTTCGAGGCACCAATCAGGCGCTGGGCCTCTTCCTGGAAGATCTCCTTGATCTTGGCTGCGTCCTTGACGTTGTTGAGCTTGCTCGTCAATGCCGCCAGCTCCTCGTGATCCTGCTTGGTGATGATGAGGTCCACGTCGGCCAGAGCAGCATCGACTTGGGATGCGGGCGCTTCACCATCACCGTGGAAGTAGTTGGCGTCCTTGGCTGCACCACGCACCACACGCTTGTTCTTCTTTGCCGCATTCTTCGCAGCTTCCTTGGCCTTCTTTGTGTCGGCCTTTGCCGCCTTCTCAGCTGCCTCCTTCTCAGCAGCAGCCTTGGCCTCCTCAGCCTTCCTCTTCTCAGCCTCTTCTGCCTCTCGCTTCTGAGCAGCCTCCTTTTCGAGACGGCGCTTGTTCTTCTGTGCGTGCTCGGCTTGACGGAACTTCTTGATACGCTCATCGAGAGCAAGGCAGTCGTCGACCAAGTGCCTCAGACGGGCAGTGTCCTCAGTCTTCTTCTTGCGACGGGCGGCCTGGTTCTTACGCTCAACGTGACGCTTCTGGTCGCGGTTTTCGTTGTCGTCTGGTACATCCTCGTCAAGGTATTCGAATGATCTCCAGCTGTCAAAGTTGTACCAGAAGTTGTAGAAGTGCTCAACCTCCTCCTTGGTGCTGTTCTCGTTACCGAGCTTGGGTACCGGTTGCTGGTTGGAGAAGCGCCCCTCAGCCTCGAAAACTTTGCCCCAGAGTTTGTAGAAGTTGCCCTTTTGCGTCTCCTTCTTCGATGGTGGCTCAACCTCGGCGGCCTCGTCGACAGAGTCGAATTGCCTCCTCTTGACAGGGTCGGACAGGACTTCGTGGGCCTTCTGGATACACTTGAAGAATTGGTCGTCTTCGGTGCCGCCCTTGGCTGCCTTCTTGTCGGGGTGATGCTTGAGCACCTTCCTGCGGTGTGCGCGCTTGATCTGGTCGTCGGTTGCGCGCCATCGGTAGCGGGTTATACCAAGCACAGCGTAATGATCTTGAGACTGCATGCCATGTTAGTATAGTGTAATCCAGGAACATCCTTAGCAATTCTTACCTTCCAGTCCTTTGCCTCACGCTGCAGCATCAGAGGGTCCTCAGGCTCGTCAACATCATCGGGATCCTCCTCCTCAACGCTCTTGACATTGGCCTGGGCCTGGATGCGGTCGTCTTCGGAGAAAGTGCGCTTGTGACGCTTCTACATGGGAGAATTAGTATTGATGTTGTGTGGCTCGGCGATATTGAACATACTCTGCGGGCATAGGCCAAGAAGTGTGGGCCGACAGGCTCAATGTTGCGGTCGTTGGCTTCACTCAACTGGCCGATGGCCTTGAAGTCCTTCTCACCAGCCCAACCTTCGGGCAGGACCGGGAGGGGGAGTGCAATCTCCACGTTTGCCATTGTTGTTATGGTGATGGTGATGGTGGTGGTGGGGGAGGCCAGGCTGGGGGAGAAAAAGTTCGGATTCGGGGCAGCCCTGGCTGTGGCGCTAGTTTACCGAACGCTGATCCTAGCGCATCGCCTGAATCCCAGCCGCAATGGACACCCCAGAACGTGTCCGGATACTCTAGTGCTCGCCCATGGTCCTGCATCCGACATTCGATTAACAAGCCTGTTTGGTGTCTTTTCTTGCATGTCTTATTATCCTTCTTTGTAAAACAACTTCATCATGTTCCAGGTGCCCACATCACTCCCAGAGCTATAACATCGCCAGGCTGACTTGAGACACAGCGCATTCGAGGGGCAATAGACGCGATTGCTGAGGAACAGGCCCGCCAGAAAGCCGCCCAGCAAGCCGCCCAGCAGACCAGACCTTCGCGATCCAATTCGGCTACAGCACGGCGCTCTAATTCCCGTAATCTATCGCCCTCGAAACGAACAGCACGATCCAAAGATGGCGACAGCAGCAAAGCCGCGCCCGCTGGAAAGGGCCCCGATCCCTCTGAATTCGACCCGGACTTTGTCATAGGCGAGGACGAGGAACAGCCAAGCCGAGCTGCCACACCACGCCCTAAGAAAAAGGCGCCAGCAGCAGATGCCACGACCGAGAACGGCGACGATAAGAAGGAGGAGGCGCAGGTCGCAGAAGGGGAGGCGCAGGTGGAGGCAGAGGCGCAAGAGAAACCGGAACAACCACCGGAAATCCCCCCAGAGGTCAAGCTGCGGCTCCGTAGATTGGACAAACTGGAGCCCAAGTACACTGGTGAGTGGTACCTTCGTCCGAATGCGCTGATTCCTTTCAAGCCACATGTCGTGAGCAGGGGACGCAGCCAGCACCTACATCATGCGCATGTACCCTCAAGACTTTCCTGGCTGCACTATTCTTTCCAAATCCGCCACCTGCTCCCTCTTTGACCGCAAAGTTTGTCACACAAGGTACGCGAAGCTAACCTGGAAATCAGAGTTACTCCGGTCGTACCGCATCGCACACGCTAGGGTTGGCGCAATCGAGGCGTTTGAGAGTTCTCTGCGCGAATACACTCCTCTTACTTCTATCAGCGATGCCAGCGCCTTTGTGGAATACTTAGGTCAACTGAACGTCAAAAGCGACATGCTTATGGAAGAGCTCAAGCGTGTATCTAGGGAGCGTGATGAGCTCAACAAGAAGCTCGAGGATGCCGAGAAACGCGCAAAGGAGGCGTCTGAAGAGGTGGAAACACTCAAATCGCAGGCGCAAACAAGCAAGGAGAATGAGCAAGACAGCTCCACAACGCAGACCGATTCAGCTACACCCTCGTTGCCATCAAAAGAACCCAAGCAGACAGACACCACTGGAGAAGGCGAAGACTTCTTCTCGTACGACAGCGAATTACCTCGTGTGCAAGCGCAACTACAAGAGACCGAGGCAAAAGTGGAGAAGCTCGAAGAGGAAAACAAGTCGCTCAAGAACGAACTTTCGACGGCACAGGAATCAGCACAATCCTTTATGCAGAATCTGGAGACGACGACTAATGATCTGAACACGTTCAAGGACACGCATCAGCGCCTGCAGCGCGAGGCGGATGAGCGTGAAAAGGAGCTGAATGGTAGCATTGAGGAGCTCAAGGCAAAGGTCACTAGCGCAGAAGAGGAGCTCGAAAAGCACAAGGAGTCGCATGGTGAGAATGAAAAAACCATCAGTGGTCTCAAGAAGAAGCTCGAGGCCACGACCAAGGAGTTGGAAGACTTGCACGCTGAGAAGGGAGAGAAGATTGTGGAAGAGGACCAAGTCGAATCTTTGGAGCGTCGCATTGAGGAGCTAGACAACGAGCTCTCGCAACTGCGCGACAAGCATGCAAAGAGTGAGAAGAAGAACGAGACGATGAGCAGCTTGCTTGATAAGGTGCGCGAACAGCTGAAGGCGGCGGAATCTAAGCGTGACAGCGCTTTGGTTAAACTCGAGCAGGCTAAGCACGATCTTGAGAAGAAGAATCTTGAGAAGGCGGATGCCAAGCCAGCATCTATCAAGGTAGAACCGGCGCCCCCATCTCCAGCACTACCTTCTCCGGCAGCACCGCTCAGTGCATCTGCCAAGAAGAGGAATCGCAACAAGAACAAGAAGAAGGGTGCAAAGGGGTCGGAGGGAACTGGAGCCGTGACTCCCGAAGCGACACCAAGCGAGGCAGGAGACAACGACGGGCTGCTCAGTCCTCGGGACGCAGAGTTTTCGCCGTCGCAACTGGAGGAGGCACTGAAGAATGTGGCACAGCTCAAGTCAGATCTGGAGGAAAAGACGGCGGAGATTGAGAAGCTTCAGGATGAAGTTTCGGAGAAGACGTCGTCGATTGAGTTGCTCAAGAAGAAGGCAAAGGACCAAGAAGATATGCAGGAGGAGATTGATACACTGCGACAGGATCTCCTCGACTATGGACTTGAGCATACCGAAGCCAAAGACAAGGTCAAAGAGTTACAGGCGGAAAAGACGGCTTTGCAGGAAAATATCAGCAAGCTTGAAGGCGAGATTGCTGAATTGAAGACAGGAAAGGCAGCTCAAGAATCGTCACAGCAGGAACGAGAAGCGCTGACTGCCGAGTTTGCGGAGCTCAAGGCCAGGGCTGAATCACTGCAAACAGATCTATCGGTTGCGGAGAAGCTTGCTGCGTCTCGCTTCAAGGATCTGACGGAGATGCGAGAGGTGTTGCAAAAGGCACAGCCTGAGCTAACATCTCTGCGCAAAGAAGTCGCCGAGCTGCGAAGCACTAAAGACGAGCTGGCAACCAAGACGGGTGAAGTCCGCAAGCTAGAGGGCCGCGAGAAAGACCTCCGTTCGGAGATTGCCGAGTACAAGTCGCAATTGTCGAGCAAGGAGAGTGACATCAAATCACTCAACGACAAGATGAAGCAGGAAATCAGTCAGAAGTTGGCGCTGGAAGAGACCAACAAGAAGATCCAGCGCGATCTCAAAAACTCGGAAACAGAGCGCAAGGACGTTGTGGAAGCGCGAGACAAGCTGACCAAAGACTTGGCAAAAGCGCAAGAAGAGCTCAAGACATCTCGCAACAAGGTGCGCGACCTCGAGGACGAAGTAGCCAAAATCACGCGTGAGGTATCTGGTCTACGAGATGACATTCAACTCAAGTCAGCTCAGTATGCGAGTGCACAGGATCTCATGAACAGCATGCAAGATCAAACACAAGAGATCAGCACTCAGATGAAGGAGGTACGAGCCAAGAGCGAAAGTCTGGAAGAAGAGCTAGCCGATGCGCATCGATTGCTGAGCGAACGCGGTCGCGAAGCTGAGACGATGCGAAGACTGCTGAATGATGCGCAGGGACGAGCGGACACGCGGGTACGGGAGATGCAAGAGCGGCTCGACATTGCGATTGAAGAGCGTGAGCGGGCCGAGGAGCAGGCAAGCACGTTCAGCCGTCGTCGGGCGCGAGAGCTTGAGGAGCTGAAGCAAAAGGTGCGAGATGCAGAGCGTGCACAGGCGCGTGCTGTAGAAGACAAGGAGGATCTTGTGGCATCTGAGAAGGAGCTTCGCAAGAAGATGGAAGAGCTGGAGAAACGGGCAGCACAAGCCAGCGAGGAGGCATCCGAGGCCAAAGTGACTATGAGCCAGCTTCGAGATGCACTGGACGAGAGCGAGAAGCAGGCACACGAACTGGAGAAGGAGAAGGGAGAGCTGCGACGGGCGTTTGACGAGACGCAGAGCCGGCTGGAGAAGCTGCAGAAGTCGAGCAAGGTGAGTAGTGGCGGAGGGGTATGTGATGAGGTAGTGGGATGCACTAACACGTTGCAGACCATGTCTGACGAATTGCGAGCGGTCAAGGCACGCGTGTCGGACTCGCACGCACAGTCGTCGCGATCCTCGATTGAGTCTTCGCGGTCACGGCTGGCGTCGCCGAACCCCAACAAGGGGGCGGGAGGAGCAGTTGCAGAGGCGATTGACTATGTGTACCTGAAGAATGTACTGCTGCAGTTCCTCGAGCAGCGCGACCGCAAGTACCAGCAGCAGCTCATCCCGGTGCTGGGCATGCTGCTGCACTTTGACAAGCAGGACGAGCAGAAGTGGATGGCGGCAGTGTCGGCCAAGTAGTGTGGCAGTGATAGTGGTAGTGATGGTGATGATGACGAGGATGCGGTTCTCTGCGGTCTGACGTGCAGGAGGGTGATTTGTGCATGACGGGCAGCTGAGGTGCTGTAATGGTGCGTGTAATGGGCGAGGCACTGGGGTATGTAGCCTCGTGGGGGACCTGGGACCTGGCACTGGGAGTAGGAACCAGCATGTGAGACTAGGGAAGATGTTTGTTTGTTTTGGTTTGTTTTCTTTTTTCTTTTTTATTCATGTCAGCATAGCGAGGGCTGTTGGGCTTCTCTGGGAGTAGGGTAGGACACGACATGTATTATATGTATGTATGGCGGGGGGAGTATCAGCTTGCAGCTGGCCGCCACGGACAGGAGAGGTAATGCGGCGCATGGCTGATGGCGTGGCTGGCTCAATGCGCAATGTGTTATCCCAAGCTGCAAGTGTGTCTGTGTGTACTCTACTGGTAGTTAGTATAGTATTTGACGGCAGTCTGCGACGGGAGTGGATAGACGCCAAGCACAAGTACAGCTGGGGGGAGTCGAGTCCCAGGGCAGCCACTGCAGGCTCCTTGCCTGCAGGATTGATCAACTGGACAGATGGGTTGACTGCCGTTCCAGGTCGTGGCCTGACTGGAAAAAAATAGACTAGGGTGGTAGCAGGCGGCTGGTCTCTGGGAGGCTGGTAGTGTGGTGGTGCTGGTGGTGCTGGTGGTGCTGTTGCTTGTGAACGAGGCCGTCGACTGATGTCATAACTCGTCTCGCCTCGTCTGGCCTGCTTCTTTACCGCTTCGCTCGGCCTGCTCCATGATGCGTCCTTTTCCATCCCCAAACCAGAGAGACTACTGTGTGTCTAGCTTGCTCAAAAAAACTGTCCGACGCGGCGCTCTGCAGAAAATCGCGCGTGTCTGCACCGGATCTCCCAGCAGACGAAGCGACCTCTTGACCTGCTGTTCTGGCTGCCCTCCCCCCCCATCGCAGCCACGCTATCCAAGTCCCCCCCACCATCCCACCGCCAATCACACGCCCGTCCAGCGCCAGGCGGGCGAGGGGAGCGCTAAGCCCATTCTCCAGCAATTGAAGAAATCGCAGGGCAGTGCGACGACAGCCAGCATCGCGCCGCCCGCTGTTTCCAAGTCTCCTTCACTCTCCCTCCCTCTACCGCTCCCTCTGGCTCGTTTGCTGCCCGCAGCCCGCTCAGGCCCGCTCTCCCTGCCCCCCATCCCGTGAGCCCATGAACGCTGCCCAACGCGTCCGGAACGCCTAACCGCAACATCGCATCCCCCCAGCAACCCCCCTCCAAGTCCCAGCTCTCACAGCCCAGCCCATCCCAGCCCGTGGCGGGGGTAGAGCCACCATGAATGGCACCGACATGAAAAAGGCGGCCATCAACAAGGCCAAGCAGGTCGCGCAGGCCGCAAACAGCAACGGCGGCAAGAAGCGACGGAAGGGCCAGGACCTCAAGCCCATCATCACGGCAGAGAATCAAGGCGGCGCCCAGAATGCATCGCCCTCTGGCTCCACGGCCTCCTTTCACTACAAGTACGTCGCTGACCAGCAACCCCCCCTCCAAATCAAACCAACCCCCATCACGTCACCCTCCCGCCCGCCCCCACTGCACTTGATTTTGCTCTCTGCGCGCGCACACACACACTCACCGCACGCACGCACACTCTCTCTTTCTTTTCTCCGCATGTCATATGCCCCATGCCACTGCCGCCGCACTGCCGCAGCCCCAAACTGACCACAATAACCCCGCAGTGTGCAGAGCGCAACGTCGCCCCACAGCCAGAACAAAATGTACGGAAGCCAATTGAGCCACTCGCCAGACTCGTCGTCATCGTCGGTCGATGAGGCCGAGAACACGGCCGACGAGGAGGACTCGGAGGACTACTGCAAAGGCGGCTACCACCCAGTCCAAGTGGGCGAGGAGTACAAGGACGGCAAGTACACGATTGTGCGCAAACTCGGCTGGGGCCATTTCTCCACCGTCTGGCTGTCCAGAGACAACACCAATGGCAAGCACGTCGCCCTCAAGGTCGTCCGCTCCGCTGCGCATTACACCGAGACGGCCCTCGATGAGATCAAGCTGCTCAAAAAAGTCGTCGAAGCCAACAAAGACCACCCCGGCCGCGCACATGTCGTCAGTCTGCTCGACTCATTCAACCACAAGGGCCCCAACGGCGTCCACGTCTGCATGGTCTTTGAGGTACTGGGCGAGAATCTCCTGGGCTTGATCAAGCGATGGAACCACCGCGGCATACCCATGCCACTAGTCAAGCAAATCACAAAGCAGGTGCTCCTCGGCCTCGACTACCTCCACCGCGAGTGCGGCATCATCCACACCGATCTCAAGCCCGAGAACGTTCTTATCGAGATTGGCGACGTCGAGCAAATCGTAAAGACATATGTAAAAGAAGAGCCCACAAAGAAGGGTGGCGAAGATAGCGTTAGGAACGGCAGGCGGAGGCGAAGGACTTTGATCACAGGCAGTCAGCCACTCCCCAGTCCGCTCAACGCGAGCTTCAACCACGCTGAGCTGTCCAGCTTCCCTGGAAGCACCCAGAGCCTGAACAAGGTTATGAGCGAGGGTACAGGTAAACTTTCCCCCACGACTGTTCCGAGTCCTCCTCCTTCATCAGACGGTGTCGTAATGAGTGGTGCTCTAGCAACTCCGGCTTCTACATCGAACCTGTCCATGGCAGAACGGCTCGGCATCAAGTCGACAAACGAAGACGACGCACAGAAACAGCGAGAAAAATCTGCGTAAGTTGGCGACATGTCCTGGTGTAAACAAGTTTACTAACACTCAAATCTCAGCGACCTGCTTACCAAAGAGGTATCCAGTATCAGCCTTGACAGGCCCGCTAGCGCTTCGGGCAAATCACAGCTTGAACAGCAGGTCGAACACTCTTTCGAAACAATATCTGTCAAAATCGCAGATCTCGGAAACGCCTGTTGGGTTGGGCACCACTTTACCAACGACATCCAGACCAGGCAGTACAGATCCCCAGAAGTTATCCTGGGCGGTAAGTGGGGTGCCAGTACTGACGTTTGGAGTATGGCTGCAATGGTATGACGAGTGACCTATCAGACGCAGGCAGCCTTGCTGACAGGGATAGACATTCGAACTCATCACGGGCGACTATCTTTTTGACCCACAATCCGGCACCAAGTATGGCAAGGACGACGATCATATTGCTCAGATTATTGAACTGTTGGGAACCTTCCCCAAAGGCCTATGCATGTCCGGTAAATGGTCACAGGAAATTTTTAATCGCAAAGGCGAGCTTCGCAACATTCACAGATTACGACATTGGGCGCTGCCAGATGTTCTGCACGAAAAATACCATTTCAGCACAGAGGAGAGCAAGAAGATTGCCGACTTTTTGTTGCCCATGTTGGAATTGCTACCCGCGGATCGAGCCAATGCTGGAGGAATGGCAGGTCATGAATTCTTGAAGGACACAAAGGGAATGGAGAATGTCAACTTGAATATTCCGGTTGGTAGCAAGGGCGAGGGCATAGAGGGTTGGGCTACGGAGGTTAAGAAGACCAGGTAGACCCAAACTATGCATGTTGAGAGGCCGAGGGGTTGCCGAGGACTGAAGATGCCGATGAGCTGTGAGCAATGACGAAGAGTTTTGCAAGCTTTCCGATGCCCTGACAACTTGTCAAGGTCCGCGAGCTATGCAAAGGCCGCGAGTCGTGAGCTGGAATTCAACCAGTACCAAATCTCGCAAAGGCCGGCCGAATACAAGATTCTCGTATGCAAAGCAGCTGTGCCTAATCTCAAGGTACCATGATCTGGCTGCGAAAACGGGGTGGCCGCCTCCTTGTGCGGGCGGTACGAGCTAGCGGCGGCGGCGGCATTGCGACATGTACTTACGGCTTACTTGTGTGTTTTGGAACACGCAGCGTGAGAACAGTGTCTGGAACCCAGTGGCGAAAACGTATGAAATGGTTTGTATTTTTTTTTTTTCGTTCCTTCTTGTGCAGATTAGAGCCTTTTTTACGATTCATGAAGCGTGCAAAAGACGGATGTTTATGTTTTATCCCTCGAAGCAATGAAAAATTCACGAAGAATTAGTTATGTATAAAGTACACAGGAGATACGGGTAAAATGGGTCTAGCGATGCTAAACATAGTCCGCCTGACAGGCCCTCAGCCACACTTAGGAACAACACACGGAGACACTAGTGGATCGGGCGTCGTCATCACGAACCAAGTCAGCTTCAACACAGACCACGTGGGATGGCTGGGTGGTATTAGCTGCCAAATTCCTTCGTGTTCTTGGAGGCACCGGTGCCGAATTAAACGTCTTGTGTACGGGTACAGAGTACTAGGCACTGATTATGTGCATTGTGCGCCACCACGCTTTTTTGGTCGCTAACACACCTGGCGCTTGGGTCCAGGGGGCGACCTCGATGCGGACATGTCAAGCCCTTTGCGGACCGCACCAAGCCTGCAATGGATTCGCGCTATCCGATCAGGTGGTATACGGGATTCATGGATTCCTTTTTCTAAATTTGATGCTTGCATTGCTTCTCGGTTTCTAGACTGACGCTTTTTGTAGCCTAGTCGGCGCTAAGACCCTCTCTCTCTCTCTCTCTTATCATCTTGGGGGGGTTGGTTTCACACATATATATTCCATATGGGCTGAGCGGCTCTGTTCGGAATCCAGCATCATATCTCATATTGCCTTTTTCTCACCTCATCCTAATACGCCTCTTAATTACCTTACTTACCTTAATTACTTATATTTTTTTAATCCAAGTTCGCATATATACTTTTCTAAAAAGAAAATGTTGTTTCCTACCTCCCTACTCGTCTTGTCTGGCTTGACCTACTCTGTACTCGGTCAGACACATACAGACTGTAATCCTACCAAGAAGTGTAAGTCTCACCTTCACAGACTGAGAGAGTCTAATTTATGTCTCGCTCAAACTAACACTGTCCAGCATGTCCTGCCGCCCCAGCTCTCGATACATCATACTACAGCCGCGACTTCACCAAGGAGGGCGCCGACGATGACAACTGGAAAATGACCGCCTCAGGTGTCTCCTACAGCGACAAGGGCGCCGAATTCAAAATCTCCAAGAAAGGCGACCACCCCACCATCCAGTCCAAATGGTACATCTTCTTCGGCTCCGTCTCATTCCTTATGCGCGTAGCACCGGGCACCGGCATCGTCTCCTCGGCCATCCTCCAATCCGATGATCTCGACGAGATTGACTGGGAATGGCTAGGTGGCCAAGCCGCCGAAGTCCAAACCAACTACTTCTCCAAGGGCAACACAGCAACCTACAACCGCATGGCCAAAGCCGCGATCCCCTCTGGCAACGCCGAAACCGAGCTCCACAACTACACCATCTCGTGGACGCAAGACAGCATGCAGTGGATCATCGACGGCGGCGTGCAGCGCGAAGTCAAGTACTCTGACGTAAACTCCGCCTACGGATACCCACAAACGCCCATGAACGTGCGCATCGGCATCTGGGCGGGCGGCGACCCGGACAACTCCGAGGGCACGATTGAGTGGGCGGGCGGTCTTACGGATTTTGGAAAGGGACCGTACTCGATGGTTGTGGAGAAGGTCGAGGTTATCAATCATGCGCCGGCGAAGCAGTACCAATATGGCGATTTGAGCGGAACCTACGATAGCATTGTTGTGGATCAGAAGGGTGATGGAAGCGGTGATAAGAGCAAGTCTTCGTCTTCGTCTGCGTCTGCGTCTGCGTCGGCTTCCGCGTCTGCTTCCGCGTCAAAGTCCATGACTACTTCTGCTTCTGCTTCTGCTACCGCCAGCGCTTCTTCCTCGGCTACATCGGGTGCTAGCAGTGAGAGTGCCAGCAATGGGCCCAGCAAGACGGCGGCTGCGGCGGCAGCTGATCACGCTTCACCTTCCAGCAGTGCGCTGCCGGAATCCAACGGTGCGGGTGTTGAGAGCGTCAAGTGGAGGTACGCAGTGCTCATGGGCGCTGCTGCCATTGCATTTGCCATTTAAAAAAAGATATCCTCCAAAAAGCGAAGCGATTTTGTTTTATTTTTTGCTTGCTGCAAAACTGTATATACCGTGTTTAATACCCCATTTGAGCGTTTTGAGACGGAAGCAAAGAGAAAAGAAACAATTCAGTCTTGAATTGTTCAAGCCATTTTACTCGAAATTTCCAGCCGTGTGTCACTTTCCTGCAAATGAGACTCAAGATCATTTAAGATTAGTACGAGAAATTCGATATTTCAATCATCTGTGTTCTCACATCAGTGGGATCTAATCTCACTATTTGAACATCCGTGTCATCTTACTCATATCCCACCCCCTTCCCCCCCCCGAATTAACCCTAGCCATCTCACACACTTTTTTTCGATTAACCTTCTTACTCATCCCCATGCAAACAAAACTCTCACGATTAACTTTTCGCCATAACAGCTTATCTCTACTTTACCTATCCAGACAAAGAAAAGAAAAGAAAAGAAAAAAGAAACACGAGAGACAAAAGTAGAAAAAAGTTTTTACCCATGTACTTACTTCATAACTTATCCCCATACAAAATGATACATTCTTGGTATTTCTCATCAGCTCAACCACCCAAGCATCCACCCCCTTATCCTCCCCCACACCCGTCGTACCCCCTGTGCCTTGTCCTCCTCCTCCTCTTCTACCCCTTGCCTCTCCAAATCCACATCTACATCTACATCCACGTCCACGCCCCTAACCATCTCCCCCCCATTCCTCCTCGCACGAGCCACCATCTCTCCCTCAACCACAGAATCGCACCTCGAGCCATCACAATCCGTTTGCAGTAGCCCTACCTGTGCCTGTTCCTGTGCCGGTACCCCAGACGGACCCGCAAACTCGGGTGCAGACGGTAGCGCAGACACGTTTTTGACAAAGACCCAGAGGGCGGGGCTGGGTTCTACGGGTTGCCAGCCGCTGAGCATGATATTCGGGGTAGGGGATCTCGGTCTTTCTTGTGAGGGTTGGCGGGAGGCGTGTGGGGAAGGGGGTTTGGGGCACGACTCGGATGGCGTTTCTTCATGATGAGAGGATGGGGGGGAGGTGTGCTTCACGTTGGATTCACGCGAGGGCGATGTGTGATGGTGGGCCCATTGGCTGGTGCTTGGCCTGCTTCTAGGTATAGGAGTTGTTGGTCGAGACATGGTGGTCTTAGTTGGGTGTTGTCTTTTTTTTCCAAGTCTCGTTGTACACAACTCTCTATAACTATACCGGTGGTGGCCTCTGTTAACCTCAAGTCTGGCTTATGGTCTCTGATATTTTTGAGACATCTACTTTTGATTCACTCGGGGTTCTGTGTTTGTAGTCTCTGTAATCTCTGTAGCGCGGGAGTCGCAGATGTATCTTGGCGTGTGTTCGTAATGTCTGGATCTGCTGTGATGGTATAACGTGAATGTCCGTGAGAAAGGGAATACAGCACAAAGGAGCATCGCTTTTGTATGCTTAGACTGAATTCTTACACTGAATTCCTACACTGAAACCATGGTTGAGATTTAGGCTCCCTCATGGTAAGTCGGATGCTGCCCAAACGGAATGTCTGTAATTCAAACTACCCCCATTCTGCTTACAAAAACATGATATCTTACTTTTAACTGGCCAAACCTTTGCCAGAAATCCTCAGGTCATATCACAGTAGAACAGATGCTGTCAAACGCCGGTTGGCCCACAAATATACACAACGAATAAGGATGAACACAAAACATTAGCTATCCAGTTCAGCGACCCGATCTCGCCTTTGTTTGAGCTCTGCGCTCTTTCGCCGTTTCTATAATAGTGTTAGTATTTGCTATCAGGTCTGTGATTGAGATTGACTTACTCTCGTCGTATACCAAAAACTCATGTAGTGCACTGCCAGCGGGGACCATGGGCAGAACAGGCACCTTTTGGTCCGTCACAATCTCCAGCAGGGCTGGACCTTCGGTATCGAGCAGCCACTTGAGCGAATCCTCCAGCTCGTCGATTTTCATGCAGCGCTTGGCCTGAACACCCATGGCGTCACCGAGCTTGACAAAGTCGGCGTTACGTTGGTGAGTGTGGGAGAAACGGTCAGTGTAGAAGAGGGTTTGCCATTGTGTGACCATGCCCTGCTCCTCATTATTAAGGATAATGACCTTGACACCAATGTTAAATTCAGCCGCGGTGGAGAGTTCAGTTAGAGTCATGCTAAAGGAAGAGTCGCCGTCGATGTCGATGACTGTGCAGTCTGGTCGTGCAACCTTGGCACCAATGGCGGCTGGCAGACCATAACCCATAGTACCGAGACCACCCGAGGTGATCATGGTACGCGGGTACCGCCATCGGTAGTGCTGAGCGCACCACATTTGATGCTGACCAACACCGGTAGTAAGAATGGTTTGTTCCTTGCGATCGGCTGTGAGATCTGAAAGCTTCTCCATGACAGTCTGAGGCTTGATCAACCCATTCTCGCCCTCCTTCTCGTAAGCCCAAGGGAAGCGCTTCTTCCATTCGGCAATTTGGCCCATCCACTCGGGACGGTCATCAACCTTGTTTACTAGAGGCAGGAGCTGCTTCAAATTTGTGCCAAGATCTCCCTCAACAGCCTCAGTCGCTTGTACGACCTTGTTGATGTTCTTTGGCATAATTTCAAAGTGAATGATTCCTCCACGGCCCTCGGCTGCAGCAGCCTTGGCAGCAGGAGCGAACTTGGAGATGGCACCGGTAATGCGGTCGTCGAAACGGGCGCCAAGAGCGAGAATGAGGTCGGCTTCCTGCATAGCCATGTTGGCATAGGCTGAGCCGTGCATACCCAGCATGTGCAGGGACTTGGGGTCGAGCTCGTCGAAACCTCCGAGGCCTTGGAGAGTGGTGGTGACGGGTATGGTAACCTTTTCAGCGAGTTCCTTGAGAAGGCGAGGGCCGTCTTCTGTTTGCAAGATACCCTGGCCAGCGTAGATGACGGGCTTCTTGGCCTTGTTGATCAGGTCGGCAGATCTCCTAATGGACTGGTCCAACTGCTGCTTGCTCAATTCCCTTGCGGCAATGGTGGCGGCACTGACGGTGGTGGGGAGGGTGCTGCTCATGGGGATGGCTCTTTGGAGAACGCTAGCAGTGACATCTTTGGGCAAGTCGACAAGAACAGGTCCTGGGCGGCCGCTGGTGGCAATCTCGAAAGCCTCGTTAATTCTCCTTGGTAGCTCGGCAATGTTCTTGACGAGGACATTCCACTTTGTGCAGGGCCTTGTGATGCCGACCATATCGGCTTCCTGGAAAGCGTCTGAGCCAATTGCGCTGGTGACGACCTGACCGCAGAAAACAACGAGAGGGGTTCCGTCCATGAGGGCATCCTGCATGGGTGTGACGACATTTGTGGCGCCAGGGCCAGAGGTGACGAGGACAACACCAGGCTTGCCACTTGCGCGAGCATAACCCTCGGCCATATGGCCTGCGCCCTGTTCATGTCGTGGGAGGATAAAGTCAAAGTGTTTGGACTGGTAAATGGCATCGAAAACGGGGAGAATGGCGCCGCCCGGGTATCCAACTGTTCACGTTAGTATAATTTCAAGACAGTGGCCTAAGAAAAAAAATAAAGAATAGCGTACAGATGTGCTTGACGCCCTGACGGAGCATCATCTCGTGGAAAATCTGGCCGCCAGTCATGCCAACGAACGAGTGGTCCATTGCAGGCGAGCGGTACTGCTTCAATGGCTGGACACTGTCATAGTCGTCGCGGTTGAAGGCAGGCGATGGTCTTGAGCGCGGTTGTGATTGTGTGCCGGCGGCGGCAGTGCTCTGTGTTCGCTTTGCATCCTGGGAGGCGGCATTGGCAGTGAGGGCCTGGGCAGGCCTGCGGAAGGGCGAGACGGCAGCTTTGTGTGGTGTTGTGGAAAAGCAGCGGGTGCGGTTGAGAGCATTGATAGCTCGCGTGCGTGACTGGAGCATTATGAAGGCGGGCGTCCACGCAGGGGACGAAATACAGAGCAGCGACACTCAGAAAGAAAAGGCAAGAAGGGCAAGGGAGTGAGAAGGCGGGAGAGACGGGGTAATAATAAGCAAAAGCGTATTTGAGTCAAACCGTGTGGTCGCCGCTTGGGTCGACGGCCGGACAGAGTCGTGGCGCATCTGATGAAAAGTCAGTGGGGTCCGAGGTCGAGGCAGCGGGGGGTGTGATTGGCCCGTCCCCGCAGTTGCACCGCCTGCTGCCGAATATCGGAGCCTCCCCTGCTGCCGGCACTCTACTCACCTCCACCACCAACACCAAGACCGAAACCCCCGCTAAGCATCCGGTGTATGTGCTACTAGTCTAAGACGGACCCGTTTAGTATACATAAAGCATATACATACACACCTTCGTGCTGTACCTCGCTCCTCCATGCCATGCAGGCCCCCGCGCGACGAGGCCACGGGCGGGCGGCGTCAGGCCATGAACGTCGTCAGGGCATCGTCCGCCGCTCGACAAAGGGCCCGCTCGATGCCGAAGACGTGATCGTGGACGAGTATGCCCTCTCCCGCGCCCATTGCCCTGCGAAGAAGCTCCCACGACGACGACCTCGTGCTTACACGGCAATACAGCCCCCTGGCCGCCCCTCCAACACGTCCTGATGCTGCCCCGCAACCTCCTCCTCCACAGCAACAGCAACACAATGTACCCCCGGCCCGTGCCATTGACGACATGCCCTCCAAGGACTTCAGCTTCATGCAAGACCCCCAGGCCTATCACGTCCTGCCCGTCACAAACGTTCCGCCGCCCTTCCTCAACGCTCCACATGCCCCTCCTGTCTCGTCGCCCATAGACTCGCTCCTCTACTCGGGCCACTATCGCCTTGCTGCCATTGCTGCCGCCCGCAACCTGGTCTCCGCTGCCCCGGGCGACCACGACACCCTCTTCCACCTTGTTCATGTGCGTCTAGCATGTCTCTGTCTGCTGCAGGAGCATGCCCTCGCCGCCCAGGAGTCAAAGGTCCTGGGTGATTTGGCCAGTGCCTTCTACCGACACCCCCTCACAAATGCTCATCTCGTACCTTGGGAGCTGCGGCTCTTGGTCGTCCGATTGGCTGCCCTGGGCTATGGCGAGTGGCGCAAGGGTATCATGGGTTATTACGAGCTTGCGCGTGAATGCAGAGAAAACATTGTCAGGGGCCCAGAGTCTGAAAAAAAGCTATGGAGATCGCGGTTGCGTGACTGTGGCATCCGCGTTGCAAATGTCTTGGTGGAAATGGGCGACCTCGAGGGAGCTGGCCGGCACTTATCCACGCTGGCAGCCGACGAGGAGCAGACGAGAGAAATCGCCCTCATGGAAACGCTGGTCTGGCTCCGCGTGGGCCACGTGCAGGCCGCCCGTCGCTGTCTGGCCCGAGCCTCGGAAGCTTCCCCAGATGAGCTCATCGACGGCACCCTCAATGCCCTCCTCGAGCTCGCAAACTCTGATTACCAGGCTGCCGTAACATCGCTTCAGGCCCTTCGTGAAAAATTCTCAGACGACGCGATGGTGGCCCAGAACCTGGCCGTGTGTCTACTCTACACTGGACGTATCTCGGATGCAAAGAACATCCTGAACGACTTGGTTGACACCAGCCCGCCATTCCATTCCCTGATACTGAACCTGAGCACCGTCTTTGAACTTTGTACAGAGCGGAACCGCGACAAAAAACTGGCCCTGGCTGAAAAGCTCGCCAGTCGGAAAGAAGGCGCTGGTGGCGTAGGCTGGGAACTCACTAACGCTGAGTTCAAATTGTAGTAGTATAGCGAGTGATCTGGATACCCCCAATAAAACATTAGATCGAACACATCTTGATATCAATCGCCGCTCTTCCGCGTGTATCCTCGTTCCGCTATTTGCTTGGTCTTCGCAAGTCCAGAATATCTGATAGCTTCACATTGCCCTTTGCTCCCCAACCCGCAGTCCCTTGAGCCACGTCGGGTCGAACATGAACGTACCATCCCCAAGCACGTCTGTCCAGTTCTTCTTTGCTTAATATGCTTGCCCAGGACTGATACAACAGTTCCAGTGCCCCTAGCAACAAACCCAGGTTTCGTTTCTTTTCCGCTGCCGTAGCATCCGCACTTTTCTTCATCTTGGCTTTTGTTTTGGTCGGCGCATCGCCTTCTTGCTTGATCCCATCTTCTGGTAGCTTCTCAAATGCCTTCAAAAGATACAGTCTAGGTCTCTCGGCTGGATAAATCGGCAGATTTTCCCGTCCGCTCGTGGAGTGCGTCGAACCACCCGGCTGGTTGGCCTTCTTCAACTCATCTAGATCAATAGCCCACAGCGCAGTCTCCTTCGCTCTTTCCTCACCTGCTGTGTCGGTGAAAGACTTGGCTGTTCGCTGGGTCCCGTAGCCTTCGTCCTCCCACTCGTATCCCCACCGCTTCATGACCCGTATCTCGCGCGTCATGATGCGCATAACCGGCTGTCCCTCACCCCACCCTTCTTCTTCCGCAGGCCGCCCCTTGTCCAACCCAATGTGCACAGCTTTCGTCTTGCTATTCATAGATGTGACTGCTTGGGCGAGACTCAACCTACTCGAGATTGGCTGCTCAGGCATCGTATACTTTATCAACGTGACAGCAAATGCAAGTAACAAAGGTGCGCGATTGGTATATAGCACCGTCGCCTTCAACACCTCTTCGTTCGTCTCTGCTTCTGGCAGTGCAAGCTCCGCCTCAAGCTCCGCGCCACTCAGTGGCTGGCCAAACGTGGCTTTCGACTTCGCCTTCTTGACTGGCAACGGCGCAGATGCCATTGTAGCGCCATCTTGATCTGCGGCCGTCCGTTTCTTGGAGACTCGTTTCGCGGCATTGAGACATTGTCGTGCTGCTCTCTCATCCCCAAAAATGTCCTTGAGCGTTGCGAAATCGGCTTTTGATATGTCTAGAGCGCTGGTACCGTGCGTTTGGCGTTAGTGGGGTGTTGAAACGCGGTGTTGCGCTGTCACGTGCTTACGTGTTGAGTCTCGCTGCTTGCAGATCGGGCACCTTGCCCATGGCCTGCTTGAGAGGGACTTTGGCCTCTTGGTTGAGGAAGCGAAGGAGAGCAGGGATATCCTGTGTAGAAGCCATGGCGGGCGCTTTGCTCTACCAGTCTGTCTTGTTTGTCTGTGTTGCGATGGGCATGACGTTATGGGATGGCAGTCCGGGATCTTGAAAGTTACCGGCTGTCGGGATGGACGCGCTAGTTTGCATCTCTCATGGTCCTGTCGCAAGCTCAACCTTGACACTTGCACACTCATCCCTCGACACCCCATGTCGCACTACCCCTACTCAATCTCAGTTGAATCCCAATCATGGCTTTCAAGTTCTCTCTCGGCAGCGCGAAAGCCAACAAGGCGCAATTAAATTCAAAGGCCAAAGAAGATGAAGAGGCAAAGGCACGGGAAGAGAAGAATGCCCTCGACAAGGTCATGGCAGATTTCGAGGCCGAGCATGGGGGCGAGAAAAGCGTACTGGGCGAGTCGGAGCGCGACCAGGAGGCCGACAATGTATTCGTTCCAACTGGAAGTAAGAGGCACTTTACAGGCAGACAGAGGACCATGAAAAGCGGCCCTGGTACACTCGACGCTGAGCCTCTCGACGGCTACCCAAGGCCTGGAGTCACTCCGGGGCGTCCTGCACAACAAATGCCGTCGCGATTTGGTGTGTCGGCACCTACCGGCCCTGCTGCGTTGCATGGCCCAAAGCCGACCGAGAATGTGTTTACGACCGTCGTAGCAAAAGCATCCAACCTCCCGCCTGCCATTGATCCACGCCGGGTAGAAGAACTCTTTGCCGATTTCCCATCACTGAAAATTACAAGAGTCGAGAAGATACCACCGCAGGGCCCGTCACCCAAAGGCCGGCCGTCTGCAACAATGAAGGTCATATTCGACAAGGATGCGAGTGCGCGCGACTTGGACGATGCTATGAATAAACTCAACGACAAAAAGTATCTAGGCAAGGGTTACTATCTACACTTGGATAGATATCTGGGCGGCCGCTCGGCAGATACAGCACAGCGCACAGAGCCATTTGGTGCACGATGGCAGGCGCCTGAGATCCCAAAGGGTTTTGCACCACCCCCCGATCTAGGTGGTGGTGGCGGTGGGAGAGATAGACCTCGCGAAGACACCGAGCAACTCATTGTCACCGCCAACCAGCCCCCAGACATTGCGACGCTAAGACTAGTGCACCAGACCATAGAGGGCGTGATACTAGGCGGTGTGGAGTTTGAGGCTGCATTGATGAACGATGCGCAAATACAAGAAGAAGAACGCTTCGCTTGGCTCTATGACCAAAAGCATCCTGTGAACCGCTATTACCGATGGCGCTTACACCAGATTGTCTGTGACAGTCCGAACCCAGAGATTTTTGAGCGCCAGGGTGACTGGCGCGGGCCTCTAGATCCCCTTGCCGACGAGTTTGCCGACCACTTGGGCGCATTTGATTCAGAAGATGACATGATGGATAGTGATGATGAAGAGGAGAAGGAGAAGCCACAGTACAAGCCTCTTCCAGTTGGAGATAATTATCCTGGACGGGTTGATAATGGACACGGCATCATGAGTCCGCGGTCAAGAGCTATGCTTCTATGGTTGCTCACATCCCTTCCGCCTGGTAGCATTGTCGCCGATGACATTGCTGCCATTTCAAATTTTGCAGTCGAACACGCTGGACAGGGCATGGACGAAGTGGTGCACATTCTTGTCTCAAACATCATACACCCCTTTCAGCTCACTGATACCAATCCGAGGAACAGGCCAGCTGATGCAGACACAAAAGACGATCTTCGCCGACCTGATACCCGACAGGTGACGCTGAATGCTTTGCGCATTATTTCAGATGTACTTCTTGTCACTGCAAAAGAGTCTGGAGTGTCGTACAAATATCGTCTTGCGATAGCTACAGAGCTTGTGGGCCGCAAAGTGTTTGAACATCTTGAGCAGTTACCTTCGCAGCTGGAAATGGGTCGGATGACTGAGAGAAGCTACCGGGATGAAGTCAACGTCATTCTCAAGGTATGGCAGGAAGAGCATTTGTTCGACGAGTCGACGCTCAGCCATCTTGACGAGGCGTTTAACGCGCGCGAGAGGCAGAAGGAGGAGGAGGAACAGGCAAGGCGATTAGCAGAAAAGAGGAAACGGAAGAGCAATGTAGTCCGTAAAGCGGTTAGCACTGGCGGTGAAGATGGAGACGAGGATGAGAAGATGCATGTCGATGACGAGACACGCAACGATGGCACCGAGGGTGACATGGATCAAGGATCGGGCATGGAAGCAGAAGAAGTGCCCATGGCTACAGACGCGGTTGAACCCGCCCTTGCACAATCTGAGGCCGACGTGATTCCCGGGGAGACGGCGGTAGCAAGGGCTCGCCGGTTGCGGCCGAGGGCAGAGGACATGTTTGCCCTGGATGAGGACGAGTGAGGGGCGGAGTAGAGGCCTGGGGATGTCATGAGACGGCTGTCCATGGGGGGTTGAAGGGTGTTGAATTGATTGATTGTTTGTGTGTGTATATACTTAGAACAATCGGTGGCGCGAGGGCCGTGGTGATATACTTGGAGTGTAGAATAGCGGGCCTGCAGAAGCAACACAGGCGCCATGCCGCTAGCACAACGCACCCCACCCTGGATCGCCGTTCAGCATGACCCCTGATTCGATATGCTTGGTGAACATATGGTGATCGCACAGAGATGTCGTGGAGGCGCGTGAATTTGATGGCGTTTTCCAAGATAGCTGGCGGTGGCAACATGATTGGCCCAAGGGGGCACCCGTGGAGCGCCGTGAACATGGTGGGACCGCCCGCTACGGAAGCTCTCCGCCTAAACCAACAACACAGACACTTGGAGTTGCTACCTCACACCGCCTCGCCGCCCTTTTTCGCCTACTTACTCGCGCAGCTGCCCCTCCGGCAGCGGCTTACGTCCGCAGGGATATTTTCTCCCTCCATTCATTCTCTGCCAAGACCAGCGCTCTTCCGCTGCCATCTCCGCAGCTTCACGCCGCCCAGTCCTCCACCACCACCACTTGCTCTCCCTCTCCCGCCGCCCTCGCTGTTCCCCCCCTCCTCCTTCCCCCCACACGCCCGCTGTCCACCATGCCGACCTTTTTGGGCCTGGCGGTCTCGATACACGCCGATTCCAACCCGCTGCCCGAGTATTCCATCCAGAAGCAATCAAAGTACCACCGTATCACGTCGTATATCCCCGTGCCCCCAGCAAAGATCCCCCCCGGCGCCACCAAGCCTGAGCAGTCGTCTTTTGCAATCTCCATCACCCTGCTCACTCCAGGTCTGCACGTCCCATACTCGACCCCGAAGCCCACGCCCGAAGAACCCAACCCCAAGCCCAAGATTGTGGGTGGCCTGCCCGGCCAAACTGGTGAGCGGGGCAAGTACAGTCCCACGATAGCCCCGTACAAGCCCCTCACCACCTCGCCAAACGAGACCATCGCCGCGTACATTTACTTTGACGGAAGGGCAAAGGAGGAGGTTGCGACTCTGCTGCGTCGCGGCGAGGAGACGTGGGTCAATTCACGGTGGGTCAGCGTACCAGAGTCGGAAGGTGGGGGACTCGCCGAACGCGAGTTTCTCTTCCGCGAGGTCGGGCTCGAGCGATGGCTCAATGGCCTTGATCTCGAAGGCAAGGATAAAGACGTGGCTGCAAAGATTGAGCGGAGAAAGCAACGCCTGGAGAAGAAGCGGGCAAAGCGGAGAGAAGCCTTGAACAGTAGCGATGAAGAAGACAAGAAGCCCTCCACCAACGGCGTGCTGCGCTACAGCGAAAGCCAGGACGCGCCTGTCGAAACACTCTCTGGCAACGACGAATTCTTCACCACCGACTCTGATTCTGAAGACGAGCCCCCTATGCCCGAAGCCGCAGGACAAATCAAGGTTGCCTTGTTCCGTGTTTTAGCATCCGGAGAGATCAAGCGTGGCGAGTACTCACCGCAATTCGACGCACACGACGACGACGAACAGAACGGCGGAGAGGGTGACGATGTCGACCACACTACAAGTTTTGCGAAGCCAAAGACACTGGATCCCAAGTCCATCAGCACCCAGACTGTGACTGGTATAGATCCTCCGGACAAGCCCTACGCCGTCTTCACCTTCTTGTACCGCGGAGAGCGTAAGTTGCAAAATTCATAGATAAGAGTGAATATACTAACCCCGAACAGGCCAGTTGCGCAAGATGGGAATTCTGACCAGCAAGGAGCCGCCCAAGGTCACTTCGCCAGCCGCCAAGCGAAAGTCAGGAACACTCGACTTTGGCAGCCTCAAGCCCCTCAACGCAGATGCTGGAACAAAGAACTTTGGCGGCTACCGGGAAACATCCCCAAAATCCAAGAAAAAGAATCAAGACGCCATGGACAGTGACGCAGATGATGAAGACGATGTCAAGCTGGAAGATGTGGATGACGACAAAGATGTCATTGACAAGGGCCTGCTATCGCCAGAAGATGCTTTAAAACAGGGCGAACTTGCAGAGGGTGTGCGTAAGATCAAGGTATGTTATCTAGTTGTAAGATTCGGTACGCAATGCTGACACTGCACAGCTCAAACGTCAACACTCTGCCGAGCCGGTGGGTCGTCCCGCAGGTGCTTCAATTTCAGACGCCTCCGGATCTCCTCTATCTGGCACACCAGCGCCCGATGCTTCCTCTTCAAACGATGCCTCGAACTCCGCACCTGCAAACTCGTCAGAAAATAATTCCTCGAACCCCCTCGCATCGCCCTTTAAGAAGCAACGCGCCTCATTACCGGGATTTGATGAGAGTGTCCGCAAGAGCCTCGGCCAAGCGTTAATGGGCGCCCAGAAAGAGCGAGGGAACTCTGATGGCAACATTCCTACTATTGAATCCAAGATGGAAGAAGACGAAGAGTTGTAGACATTGGGGAAACATTCGACGTCCCAGCATGCATTTGGGCGGTGCAACGACTTGTTATCATATTTTGTCTCTGACCTGTTTGCGTTTTACGCCATGACGTTTTGTAGCCACGCGACATTACGAACCCCCCCAATGGATACCGGCCGAGCGTCCATTTCATCCAAAGTGCGCATCATCTTGGATCGGAAAAGAAAATCCGAACTGAGACGCGGGCCTGTGGTGGTTGGGATGTTTGAATATCCAATTCTATTTGGCGGGAAATATTTTTTCTTCTTTTACGGATCGGTAGGTAAACACTTGTACACGAGGAATGGGCTTTTTGTTTCTTATGTTTTGATGCCTCGGCTTCTTAGCGAAGACAGATGTGTGACGGCATTAGTAACGGTAGATGAAATGAGTATGAGAAATCGATGTGATGACAACACTGATATATTTTTGTATTCTGGGTGCGTGATTTCATGTATCCAAATAATATTTTTTCTTCCCATTTTTGGCGATAAACGTTATGTACTAGTAGGTTGCCATCCAGCAATATCTAACAGGCTACCAATTGCCTTTACATGTTGCTTGTCTCCATTTTTTCCTTGCAACTCGATATTCTGTACACCTTTGCCTAACCCTTGGTCTCGCTGCAGTAACAACGCACCCCACCCTGCTCCTTTTGCACCTAGATAATCCTTGTCCAGATCATCGCCTACATGGAGTTTTTCAAAGTCGCTCACTTGTAGACCTTTTCCCTGCGCATCAAAGCTGCTTGATACGACGTCACGAAGCATTTCCTCTGCAAGAGAGAAAATCACAGGGTGCGGTTTTTCGACGCTGGCGTCATAGGATAGGAGTACAAAATCAACATCTTGATCTCGTGCAATCGTATTTACTTGTTTTGTGCTGTTGTTGCTATTGCTGTACCGGAGAGATGCCACGTCCAAGCCAAACGAGGATAAGATGGACGGAATGCGATTGTCGGAGTTTGTGATTATGCCCACGATGGTCGTGTCCCATGGCCATGAGGATGAGCGCTGCTGTTTTGCATTGCGCAATATGCTAAACAACGAGTTGACGTCGTCGAATACTCTGTATCCCTTGCTTGACGAGTAGTGTTCAAGGAGTTCGCTGGTGAGTTTCTGGGAAACTGTCTGGCCTTGTTGCAGGAATGGGGCAAAAGTGTCTTTGATAATGGTTTCCCACCATTTTTCGGGGCTGAGACCTACGGTAGATTTGCCGTAGTTTGGGTATTTTTGAGACGTGGTTTTGAATGCAGATTTGAAGCTTGAGGCTAGGCTTTGGGTAGAGGGAATCTGGATCCCGTGACGGGATGCTGCTTGTGCGTAGGCGGTTGGGATGGGAGTACTAGGGGTGAAGAGGGTATCGAAGGCGTCGAGGCAGAGGAGAAGGTTCTTTCGTTTATAGGGCGGCATGATAAAAATTAATTGAATAGACTCGCTGTATAAAAGCCGGTTCTCTAATCTTGGTAAGCATGCAAGACTGGTGATCCAGACCTTGTAGTGCGGTCGTGGAGTGAGGACATGGACGAAACGGGTTAGGTCAGGGTCCTCCCTCCCTCGCGTTGCACTGCGATGCGGACACGATCACCTCGGCGACCATCCCTCAACTTTGAACAATCACAACTCTCAACTCCAGTCGCTCGTTCCCCCAATTCGCAATACAGCACCTTCACCATGGCACCCGAGGCGAACAAGAACAAGTACTCCGTACTTTTGCCCACATACAATGAGCGCCGCAACCTCCCCATCATAACATGGCTGCTCAACAAGACATTCACCGAGAAGTACGTTGCTGCCATTCCTCCTCGTTTCTTGCACTCCTGGCTCTTACTAACTCTGTCTCGCAGCAACCTCGATTGGGAACTTATCATTGTCGACGACGGCTCTCCAGACGGCACCCAAGAAGTCGCCGCCCAGCTCCAAAAAGTCTACTCCCCCGAACGCATCCAGATCCGCGCACGCGCAGGCAAATTGGGCCTCGGCACAGCTTACGTTCACGGCCTACAATTCGCAACCGGCAACTTTGTCATCATCATGGACGCGGATTTCTCTCACCACCCCAAGTTCATCGCGCCCATGATTGCGCTCCAGAAGACGAAGAACTACGACATTGTTACCGGAACACGGTATGCAGGCAACGGCGGTGTATACGGCTGGGATCTTAAGCGCAAGTTTGTTAGCAGGGGTGCGAATCTGTTCGCGGATACTGTCCTCAGACCCGGCGTCAGCGATCTCACGGGCTCCTTCAGGCTGTACAAGAAGGAGATTCTGCAAAAGGTTATCCGGAGCACAGAGAGCAAAGGATATACATTCCAGATGGAGATGATGGTACGCGCAAAGGCTATGGGCTGCACGGTTGGCGAGGTTCCGATTTCGTTTGTTGATCGTCTTTACGGCGAGAGCAAGCTCGGTGGAGATGAGATTGTAGAATATGCCAAGGGCGTGTTGAACCTGTGGCTGAAGGTCTAGAAGGGGCAGGGAAAGGTTGATTGGCGTTGAGTAACGTGGGATGGGTCTCAAGATATCCTAGGCTGAACTGGACTGGACTGGACTGGGTGAGAGATATGACGCTACCCTTGAATCTTTCTTTTTCTTTGTGTGTCTTGATATAAACTTTTAAATGATAATCTTCTCATCACCCTAAGCTTCATCTTGTACAGCACATGCGAGTCTCCCACCATTCTCTAACATACAAACAAAAAAAACTTTTGGACCAAATCCCACATCAATTCTAGCACAACCAACCTGAATCCTTCGTTAGAAAACAGCCATGCCCATACTCCACTACACTCCCGTCACTCCCTCCACAAGCCCCAACGCCCGAATCACCTCACCAAACTGCAACAACTCTTTCCTCACCACCTCACACGCCTTCCTCTTCTCTTGCATTTCTCCCCTCAAAACATCAACCGTCGCACTGAGTCCCTGCATCGTCTGTAGCACCCCCAGCGCCGTGTCCAAAGTCTTCATGTGCAAAGTCGTGGCAGCAACGGCTTCTTGCACCACGGCGTGGAAGAGGTCGCCCGTGCTGATTGCTAAGGGGGAAATGGAGCGATGAATCCGTTGATACGGGGGTAACGGGGTAGTTGCTCGGCTTGAGCTGCAGGAGCTGGAGGTAGTTGGTGATGATGGGGTGGAAGTGGTGGAACACGAGTCGTACGACGTGTGCCTGTTCTTGTGCATTCTGCGGGTGCAGCTGGTGTCTGATGCCTCTTCGTCACGCCATGATGGCGGGTCGTGTGGGTAGCGAGGAGGTTCGAGAATGAGCGACTCGTCGGATTCGTTGGTGCTGGGGGGAACACTGCATGTCATCTTTCGGTACCTGAAGAAGAGGGGGCCGCGTTTGAAGGTGTGGCGGAGGAGGCTGTCTTGCGCCATTTGGTGAGCTGGTTTGCGGGTAGTTGGGGGGGCAATTGAGGTGTTGGGTGATTATTTGGTGTAGTGGGGGTAGGCAAAGTAAAATGAAGTGGATTGTAAGGTATGGAGATTGTAGGTAGCGGATCAAGTGATGTGGTGGTGGGTTGATAGCGCTGGCGTTGAGAGGCTAAGCTGTCTTACATATACTTGAATAAGACACTCTTTGTAGGGCACTTCAGGTCTCAGCTGCAGATTGACATGAAATTGGAGTAGTAGATTTCATCGCTCTCAGTGTTCAGAGTTCGACCCGTGACTCAGGGCTTGGAGGCTTCATGGACTCAGAAATGTTAATTTCAGACATTTCCATAAGCGGTGTTAGTGAAGAGTGAAAAACCAGCGACTTTTTGTTTTGACATGAAGGAGGGTATTGGATACCTCTTTGAATCAATGATCGACCCTTGATTTAGACGACACGACAAAGCTGTGAAGCCATGGAGAAGTGTTCACGGCTTCCCGATCTCAGGGAGATGCTGAGAACCGAGGAGTAAAGCTTAGACCCACTAGACATTGGGGGCGCCACGGTACCGTATAAGAAGACCGAGGTTCCGAGATGATTATTCCAAAGCATGACAATGGAGTCGATTGATAGTACAAGTAGGTACCTATGCTTTAGTACACCGATGTCCTAGCAAAGAAAGTTCATACTGCGAGCCAGAACTTTGTTTTCGATAATTCTCCTTGAGTGTATAAAGACCGCAGTGGCGATTTCCGCATGCAGACTAAAAATTAAGTATTAACAATATCCGACATAAAACACTCTGAATGATAGACGCTAGATGTCTGCCTAGGCTAGGTTGTGGTTGTGGTCAGTAACAAATCCTTCCAAAAGCCCTTTACCATCTAGCGAGGTGAGTCATAGTTACATCCGCGGAAGACTAGAAGAAACGTTAGCTAGTGTTACCGGAGCGTATCCCAAAAGGTAGTGATCGTACAAGTGGGTCGCGCCATGGATTGATTCCGCGGAGCGGTGTAGATGCGAACATCCAGCCATATGATCCGAGGCAGGGATATTAGGCTGGAGGATTTCCAGATAGGGCGCATTGTAGTGGGGCAGAGCCGCAAAAGCTTGTAGGTAGATTCACAGTGTAGCTTATACACCCCTGTTCAAGTGGGGGATGTACTTAGTCTCCCATGACCCCACCTAGGATCTCCCCCGTCTTGCAACTTGATACAACCTATTCTTCAAACATGCTAGATTGGTATTGGTAAATCAACTTATTACAGAGGACTGCTTGGCGACAAACCATTGGTCTATAATGAAGCCCGCGCTGAACCAGAAAGGGTTTTCTACACTAAGTGTTTACGCATTGTCCATTCCCCTCTACGGTTACGTCATTGACACTGTTTTAACAAGCTATTTTTGACTATTTGATCCATACGACTCGTATGGTTGGCTATATTACATTCCTTTCGAAGGTGTTGAGTAGGGAAATTTAGTCGAAAGTTTTGATAATCAACTTGTCTGGCAACTGGTAGTAAGACTATTGGATATTGTGATCCTCACTCGCATACAATTTGCAAATCAAGGTTCTCTGGTGTCTCTGAAGAATGTGATATTGATTGATGAGGAAATAAACAAAAAAAGTTCAAAATACCGCCTATTCCACTCGAAGCAGTATGAATGCCAAGTTAGACGCCTTTTTAGAAAACCAACTCTAATGAAACTTTTTTCCCAAGTTTCCCATGCGCGAAAAACAATCCAAAAAACCAATGACCCATATACCTAAGAAATTATAGAAAAAAGGAAAATTCATCTACGAGTCGAAAATAGCACCATAAGCTGGAATGCCTCGGGCTTCCATATCATACACAATCTTGGTTGTGAACTTCTTGTTGCTGATCACACAAACAGCTTCAGCTCCACTCTCTTTCCATAGCTGGTACGCGATCAAGGACATATTGGGCTTTCCTTGCGTTCTCGTGTTCCAGATGACTGCTTGTGAATCTGTAGCTTTGACGCTGTCCACAATCTTTTGACCAAATGTCTGTTCAGGGTTTGGCGCAGTCCACAGGATACGACAAGGTACTTTCTGAGCGAGGATGACAGCTAGGCAAGGTCCGATACCTGATCCTGTTGCGACAAGGACGACTGACTTGAAGAGTGTGGCTATGCGGAGAACACCGCAAGTCGGGATACCACGGACGTAGATATGGGTCGGTGCGCGCTCAATTGTGCGGCCTGTAAAGTCACCTGCGCGGCTCACAATAAGTGAGAATCCATTGCCTTCGGGATTGGTAATGGTGGCAAAGCCGTGCCAGTCGATCAAGGGACGTTCTGCAAGTCTGACAGCAGTCCCGACAACAGGAGTCGTGTAATCGAACCAAAGCCGGATAGCATGGTTTGAGAGAACCTCGGAGCGGACGGGTACTTTGCGTAGATGCAGCCATGGGAAGATGATGGCTGCTGTCGCGACGGAGAGAAGCCAAATACCTGGGGAGCGCAAATAGGCGGTTGCGATCGGCAGCTCGGGATTAAGGTCCTTGGTTGCAAGGAATGTAAGTGTCCAGAGCAATGCGAGACAAGTCCAACCACCGAATCGATGGGTCATCTCCCATAGATTGTGGTATTTGGCGCGGAAGGTTGGGTGCGAAGTCGATCCAATGGCGAGCAAGATGAGAAGCGCAAGCCACGATACTACGACCGGAGCTACCGAGATTCGACGCATGTATGCCGGCTGTGCCAAATCCACGGTACCGTCAATGGTGAATATAAAATGCCACATTATGGCTGCCATTGCACATCCGCTGTGGATACCACCAATGTGGAAGATTCGAGCGCACTGGCGTCGTATAGCTAGAGGAAAGAAGGTCTGTATATTGAGAATTACAGTCAGTCATCATTTCATAAGTCCATGATATACAGCGATTGCTTACCGGAACAGAGCAAAAAACGGTAAAAAGAAGGTTGACGACTGGCTCCGAGCGCATGAGGACAGCTACGACAAGATTGGCAGCTGTGGCTAGAGACAAGTTGGCGAGAATGTCCCTGTTTTGTCCAATCCTGCGGTGCAGAAGAAATACAGCCACCCCGATGTTCGCCAGTATGACGACAGACAGGAAGCGGCGGTAAAGAATAAGTCCGCGATGTCGAACCCAGCGTAGACCGTGGTAACTGTTCTTCGGCGGCAGGGCTTCTGGTAGCTTTTCAGCCAGATCCACTGAAGAGCTGGTTCCCTCAGAATCGCCGCTAGTAATGATGACAGCCATCTTCTCTGGATCCTTGAGAGAGGCAGTGGAAGATCCACCAGAAGAGTAGGTCTCCACATTGACACTGACTGTGTTCGGCTTGAGAGTTTCTGTGGGCTTCTCGCTCTTGGGTGTGTGGCTAGGCTGGGCAGAAGCGAGTTCTCTGAGAATTTTTCGATCGACTTTGCCGTTATTTGTAAGTGGTATGGAGTCGACCTTGACCCATTTCTCTGGAACAGAGTAATAAGGTAGATGCTTCTGGGTGAAAATTTTGAGAGCTTCTTCGTCAACTGAACCCTCTGTGGCATAAAAAGCACAGAGCGCATTCTCGACGAGCAGTGCTGCACCTCGTCTCACGTTTTGGAACGACTAATTCCGTTAGCAATCTCATAAAATGTTCAAAATAGGGGCTATTCACCTCAACGACGGCTGTGATTCCATCAAGTTCAACACGAAAACCCTTGATCTTTACTTGGTCATCTTCACGACCGAGCATATCAAGCGAACCATCTTCGTTCCACCGTGCGATATCACCGGTGTTGAACATTCGTGATCTGCGCTGTGTAAGTACAATGTGATACGAAAGATAGTCCATGAAACATACCCATCATTGACGAATTTGTCATGCTTGTAACGACGAGCAGTAAGTTCAGGCAAATTGATATAGCCTCGAGTCACACCAGCTCCACCAACCCACATGGTTCCCTTTTCTCCCACAAGAACCGGTTGCTCGTCTGCGTCGAGAAGGTAACATGTCGTGTTGGGCAATGGCTTTCCAATGGACAAAAACTGGCCTGGGGTATGTCGATGTGCTGAATTAAGAATGGTAATCTCCGTTGGCCCACAAATGTTGTAGAAGCATGCATTTTCAGCCCACTCATCAGCCAGTCTAATTAACCGTTAAAATCGTTCGTAGATAGCTTCGAAGAAAGAAAACTCACGCTTTTGGGCAAGGCTCACCGCCTGTCACGACATATTTGATGTTTGGAAAAGCCTGTCGACGGTACTTTGACAGGATGGATGGGGTGGAAATAAGTGTATCCACCTATGGCTCGGTTAGTAGGTGATTGGTCAGATTTGGTGGCTAAACGGAAGCGCTTACCTCACGGAGCGTAGCTGTCCAGTCTGACCCCCGCAAGTATAGGGTACCACCATTCATAAGACATGCCAGTATTTCCCATGCACCTGGTTACTTGTTAGGTAATTTTCTTGGAAATTTTCTTGGAAATTTTCTATGGAGCTTACCCATGTCGAATGCAATGTTGAGTACTTGTGCAACTTTGGACCCCACGGTAATGTCAAGTCGCGCTGGGTTTAACAACAAAGCGTTTGTGACATTTGAATGCGCAACGTCGACACCCTTGGGTGTACCAGTACTGCCTAAATAGAGATGGTAAGCAATGATTGGCTTGTATAGTGCGTTAACTTACCGGATGTGTAAATCGCATATGCACCATCATGGCGGGAAACTGGGACTGATGGGCGTGTCGAGGGAAAGGAGGCAGCAACGTTCGCTTCCAAAGCGACAATCACTGCACCTTGTTTGGCAACCTTTTGTGTTCGTTCGAAAAATTTGGGAAGGCATAGAATGAAAGTTGCACCAGAGTCGGAAAGGATGTGTGTCAGTGCAACCTCTGATGCCACTCCACCATCGACTGGTACATATTGACATCCTGATTTCAGAATGGCAAAGATACCAACCAGCATCTCAAACGAGCGTTGCACAACAAGGCATACTCGTTGTCTCGGCTTCAATCCTGCATGGATGAGACGATTGGCGAGTTGGTTTGCTGCTTCATCCAATTGCTGGTATGTCAGTGATTTACCACCAAAGGTTGCGGCGACCGTATGTGGATGAGTTTCAGCAATTCTTTCGAATGCCTCATGAACCACGGAATGTGGGACTGGGACAGTTGGTCCTTGACCAAAGCTAGATATCCGTCTGCGATCCTCCTCAGGGAGGCATGACATTGCCTCAAAGCAATTGTTCGTCTTCATGTTGAGAAATTAATGAATTAGAATAGAGGAATAGAGAGTTCTCATGCTATTGAAATCTTCATGTTGTTGCCAGCGCCCTCCCTTTTGTATTAACGGGAGGGGACGTTTCAGACACGGCAAGTAGAATCGGAGCATGATCCTACTCGTATACACCTGTGGGTGGCAATACCTTGGATCCACAAGGGATTTCCATGTGATCATGCTATATGACGCAAAATTTGACCGTAAATTGCCAGGTGAGGACTGCACTGAAGTTTCTGGGGTGTGTTATCGAGACACTATGAAAATGTCTTGGACAGTTAATATCAGGCGAACGTTCTCGGACGACCTCCACCAGGGCGGATTCGTGCTATACGCCGGTTTCGTGCTATACGCCGGTTCAATGTCAAGAAAAAGTTAGGAACCTGCGGATTGGTGGCTGAAAGTAGCAAAGAGTCTACAATCAGGACGCCAAACACAAAACGAAACTGATGCGGGGCCACTAAACAACCTTCACAAGGACGGACTGCGTATGCACAATGCTCTGAGCCACTGCAATGGTGCGGTTTGAGTGACATGACTGGATGTTCCTAGAGGTAGCTTCAGCCGTTATTCAGGTGGCAATTTACAGATGCGTGTTCCTAAGGCAGGCCTTGTTTTACTCCGTGAGGAGGACCCGAAGCTAAGGTTACCTTCCGGTTAGGATGTGACAGCCGAAATGTTACAGGGGGAACCATGTACCCACTTACGTCAAGTGGGGTGCATACCTGCAATGGGGTCTAAGCGAGGCCATGTGCGGCTGCACCCTGAAACTAAATCGCTGGGGCTTTCGTGGCCCTGCCCCTAATTACGAACGCTCGATCTGTCAATGCGTTAGTGATGGTCGTCTTACGGACCATGGATATAATACCATACAGTACCATCTATCCGGTCGGATCCGATCGTCGTGAGATGGCATGCTAAGCGATTGCCTCGGTTTTGCTGGCCGGTTAATCGCGTAGCCCCGAAGCATGAGCGGACTTGCTACTTGCAGAACTCTCTTAAATAAAGGGGGTGGGGGTCCAGGGGCGGAGAGCGGCGGTAGAAACCATATCAGGTTGACTTGTAAATATGGAGTTGGGTAGCAGGGGACGGCCTTGGACGAATCATGCAGCAGAAATGCTTTTTTAGTGTGGGCAATAGATGAAACTGGCCGCGTGGTATATGAAACCAGCCAAGTACCTCAAAAAAAAAACGGGTAATGCATACGGCTACGCCCACGCAGCTGTGGGCTGGTGATTTTGTGCAGTACCAAGCATGGCACCTATAGAGGTGGAGCCGGGCTGGACCACGTGGGGACTAGAAGTCAATCTCACTGTAATTTTGATCCTTAGCCAAGTTTGATCTGCCTACTTAGTTATGCTCTCTCAAAGAGCCACAGTGTTTAGTATAAATCCAACTCCGTGAACCATGATTGCCCAATGATACAAGAAAGAAGGATTCTTGATAACTTGGAAAATTTCTTATCGTCTCAACGGTTAAAAAAACAAAATCCAAGTACAGACCAAGCGCCACATTTTGCTAAACGAATCCGAAACTCACGTTAACGACCGAACCAACTAGAAGCCATGAGCCTCTCGAACGCAGAATCGCCGAGTCTGATTGTGACCATCAAGGATGAAGGTATCGCCATTCTGGAACTGAACAGACCGAAAAAGAGGAATGCATTGTGTCAGGCTTTGATGAATGAGCTGATTGCGGCGTTGCGTCAAATTGATCGCAACCCCACGATCTTCGCTGCCGTCTTGACCAGCTCTGGCCCATTCTGTGGTATGTTGAGATCGGTCCTTGTACAGAGAGATGCGTGGGTATTGACACGATGATCAGCTGGCGCAGATCTAACTGAACTGGCGAAGCTTACGACAGCTGAGGCGTAAGTATACCCAAGTATGGAGCGGAAAAGGAGCTTCCGTTGACCTATCATTCCGTCGGTAGGACCCGTGTGGGATGGCTCAAAGACCTCGATGAAGCATTCTCAAGTTTTCGGAAGCCTATTCTGGCAGTCGTGAGGGGCTTTGCAGTGAGCCGGTTATCCCCCACGTCACTTAACAGGCATGCTGACAGCCCCTACTAGTTAGGCGGTGGCTTTGAACTCGCACTTATGGTAAGGACAAATTGCCCCGTGCATTCCACCAATGCCCGATTGGCTTGATAGCGATTCTGAGTAATCGCTTACTGTTGGAGTCGTGTGCTTTGGAGCGGGCGCTAATGACGTGCAGTGTGACATGGTTTACGCAACAGCAGATGCGCGATTTGGTTTCCCAGAAATCACCCTTGGCACGATACTGGGAGCGGGTGGCACGCAAAGGTGAGAGCGAATTACGTCTTCTGGCTGACATGTATTGACCTCATTCAGACTCACCAAGACGATTGGAAAGCAGAAGGTATGTTCCCAATTCGTAGGCCAGGCAATATCATGCTAGCATTTTCCTTCTGTTGAGCAGCGTTCGTATTAACTCACTAGGCAATGGAACTTATATTAACCGGTGCAACCACCTCGGCAACGGAGATGGAGCGTCTAGGCGTTGTGAATAGGGCTGTTCCCAACGGAGAAGACGTATTGGAGGTGGCAACGGCAATGGCACGGACTATTGCATCGTTTTCAGCGCCAGCAATTGGCCTAGCTAAACAAGCTGTTTTAGCAGGTGAGAATTGTCTGTACGCCCGTATCCCCAGGCTAGGAAGTTGACAGAAAGCAGCGGAGACGACAACCTTGAAGACAGGGTTAGAGATTGAGCGTGCATTGTACTACAGCAGCTTCTCGCTTGAGGATTGCCGGGAAGGGGTGGCGGCTTTCAAGGAGAAACGAAAAGCAAATGTCCAACACCGTTAAATGGTAGGGGTAATGGAAAGCTCGGAGTAAATCGTTTGTTGGAACCCCCGATTCGGGCCTTTTAGGCGTACTAGGCTTTTTGTGATAATACGTCCGCGCCATAAATTAATAAGGTCTTTATCGAAGCCCCGCCACGCGGACAAATTATATGCGGGGGAGCTAAGCGCTCCGACAGGTACCATGAGACTGGCTTGGCAGTGATATGTGGCTGTGTTATCCCTTCCGGCTCGTTGCCAAGGGTTTGTATTTTAGGCTGCACGTTGCAACATCCGATGCCAAGATATCACGATCCACCCTTGCTGAATTGCGCACGAGGTGTCTGACAGCTGTAGTCAGACGCGGATGCGCCCGTCGGGACATGGTTTGGAAGCGAGATGTGTTGATGCTCAGATCCGCCTTGGCCTGTCTCCCAGAGCTGACGACTGTTCCACATCACCATCAAGCCAGCAACGTTGTGAAATACGAAGAGTACAATATACAATGTGTGCACGAGGAACAATCAAGATGGAACCAGAGCCTCGGGCCATCCCACCGTTGTCAAGCCGGCGTTTATCGTAGTCTGGTGCACTAGCGGCGTATAGCTGAAGCGTTTCCAAGGATCAACCTAGTGTCCCTGCACAGTCACGACCACTGTGCATTGCTTCAAGAAGCATTGTATGGTAAACTGATTTACACTGATTTTACCAAGAACTAAACTATTGCAAGCTGTTTGCGAGGATGTAGACGATTCTGTGATATTCAACAGGCGTTCCTTGCAGTAAGATTGGAGACTGCCGTCTGTGAACAACGATTGAACAACAAAACCAAGCATGAAATCCACGCATAATCAACTTGTCTCGTTCTTCGTACAGACTATTATTACACAGTGTCAAAGATAACTGCGTCATCTGATATTGTTTGGTAAACTAGGATTGCAAGCAATGCGCATAAAATAATCGTTGCTATGCTTGAATTTTCCTATTTTTAGTAACCAGTAAGAAAATGCAAAAAACCAAATACAATAACAAGCCACTATGGATAGTACCGAGAGAAAGTCCAGCTTTGCTTCTACGTACTTCTAGCTACGTTAGCTGCTCTTACTCTTGGCTGAAACTATAATGGAATAGTTAATAATAATAATAATAATAATAATAATACTCTTGGCTGAAGTGAGTGAGATTTTAGTGCCCGTGTAGTACCGAGACGCTAGCTTAGAAAAACAAAGACCCAGACCGTCTCAGCATGGGCGCAACGTATGATTTGACGTGCTTGTATCTGTTTGGCGTATAATGGTTTATATTATTATTCTTTTTAAAGAATGACAGGCCACAACACAGCCTGCCAGGATGAGGCATAATAACAAAAGACTTCGCAAGGACCTACTTTATGAGAATAGAGATTCTTCAGGTTAGTCGGATTACGTATCTGTAGACCCTCTAGAACAGTCTAATTACAATGCTAAAGCTGTAATAATTACCTCAGTAGCGTGTTATAATACCGTGACTTCACCGTTGACTGGGAGTTGTGCGGATGGAAATTATACAGAGACGACCAGACATTCTTAGTATCAAAACTATCTAGGAAGGGCCTATCGCGGAACATGAAAACTACTTTGACAGAACTCAAGTATGTCTTTGGAAAGATTCATTTGAGTGTATGGGCCTTCTTATAACTCACATTGTCATAATTTCTATCGAAGTAGTCACATGATATAAAATAGATTGAGCATGGATGACTATGAGGGGTAACATTACTTCAAAAGTCTCAATGTGACAAGTCAGATGCTATAGCTTGCACAATTGCATTTATACTATGAGCTGTAGCCCTGATTTGTTGCGTTTGCCGAGGATAAAAAACCCCGGTATCAAAAGTGCCGATAATGCTTCTCTTAATACGGCCGAATAGTGTAGAAGCGAACGACGAAAACGTGAGTCGCTTAGCCAGCCTCATGCGCAAAACATATTGCATCAACTTGTGACTCTACTGGAGAGCTGACATATATCTTATCGAGCTAGTGACCACCATGAAGTTATGCTGGATTGAGGAGTCAGGGCTAGGTTATGAGTTTATCTTGTATAGTGATTAAGAAAACGAAAGTTGAAGAGAAAAGCAACAGGGAACGAAAAAGAGTTGGCATAAGTGAAGTTGAGCCATCATTGCCATGGCATGACAAATTCGATGTAGAAATGGTAGGCAGCAAGGCCATGTGGTTGCGGATGATTATTGATGGTGGAGGAGTGCTAGCAGTATGCAAAAGACATGCTGACTAAATCCTTGCCGACCTTAGCAGAACGCCTGCTGCAATCACCGGACAAACGCTAACCAGCTCACCCAACCCTGCAAACTCTGGTGGAATATGGAAATGCACAAAGGCACCGGTAGCAAGAAGGATAGCAAATATATTGTACACAAAACTCCAGCCGAAGTTGAAAGCAATCCGATGGGTTGATTTTCGGCTGACAGTTATCGCGATGAGAATGCCGGACAGACTCGGTCGCATGAGAACAATATCTGCGGCGGATTTAGCGACGTCAGTGCCTCCGTTCATATGTACGCCGATGGTGGCCTGGGCAAGAGCGACGGCGTCGTTAGTTCCATCGCCACAGAACATGACAACGGGCCCTCTCGCTTTCTTTTTCGGTCCGCGTGGGTCAAATGTGGCGAGGAGTTCCTTGATGTAAGATTGCTTGTCCGTCGGAGTGCAGCGGGATCGCACATTGGAATTGGGAATCTGCAGTTGAGATGCGACCGCTCTGACGGCACCATCATCATCGCCAGAGAGGACATGAACCGTTATCTGGTTTTGCTGCAGCTTGGTGATGGTAGAAAGAGTATCCGCTCGCAGAGAGTCCTCAAGGCCGAACACGGCAGCGAGGGAACCGTCCATTGTAAAGCAAAAGGCAGTGTAACCCTGAGATATAATGGACTGAACCAGTGGATCGTCCGAAAAGCCGAGCCATCTAGAATTACCTGCACGGAGAGTGCGACCTTCAAAAGCGCCTTCGACACCTCTGCCGACTATGTTCCTAGGGTCTGATACTGGCATGGCTATGATTCCTTTTGCTTTAAGGTGACTTGCAACTGAAAGAGAAACCGGATGTTTGTTGCTCCCGATCAGGCCCAATAACAGAGATTTTGTACTAGGAGAAGTGTCGGGGTACTCTTCTTGAGCGATAGTAAGCTTACCCTGAGTCAGCGTCCTGGTTTTGTCGAAAACAACATGAGTGGTCTTGTACGCGATTTCGATAGCATCAGCAGATTTGAAAATAACGCCTCTCTCTGCGGCAACACCGGTTGCAACGACAATTACCATTGGGACAGCAAGACCAATAGCGCAGGGACAAGACACGATCAGTACTGCGATAGCATATGTAATGGCTTGAATAACAGCCTCAGACCCGGATCTGTTTTGAACGATGATGCCTATAGCAATCCAGATGCAGAACACAACGATTGTGATTGAGACAACAACAGGAACAAAGCAGGCTGCCACTTTGTCAGCAATCTCCTGAACTTTTGGCTTAGACAGCTTTGCTTCGTCGACCATTCCGGCAATAGTACTGATGGTGTTGTCATCAGGAATTCGGGTGAGCCGAACGGTTAGAACTCCTGATCCGTTAATAGATCCAGCAATGACAGACGAACCCTTGAACTTTTCGATAGGTCTTGATTCGCCAGTCATCATAGATTCATCAATCTCAGAAGAGCCAGAGATGACTGTCCCATCGGTCGGAATCCTGGAGTCGGGAGTTACTTTAAAAACATCGCCATACTGAAGTAGTCTGGCATCTATTTCCTTCTCAACCTCATCTCTATCCATGATGGTAGCAGTCGATGTTTGCAACGAGCGAATCGAAATGGATTCGACAGCCTTTTGCCGTGCCAACGCAGCAATATAGCGACCAATCATGATGAGCGTAACTAGCAATGTGCTAGTTTCAAAGAATTCACCGCTGGATAGTGGCTTGTGCGCAATGAGATAGCCGAACGCCACGACGGAGAAGATGTATGCGGCGCTGGTACTCAAAACGATAAGCAAATACATCTCAATTACTCTCGAGAAGATCAATGCTTTGAGCGCTTTAGGATAGAAAGGCCCAGCAACCACAAATTGAATCATGGTAGCGAGAGCAAGGGAGATAGAACCGAACAGGATCTTTCTATCTTCTTTATTTGGAAGTGGAGCCCACGCCAGTACTAAAACGGGAATGGTCAGGATAATGGATAACAAGGTCATGTATCCGACCTTGCGGACATGTTTAGCACTGGCGTCTAGGGTAGGATCGGCGCGAGGCGGGGCGAGTTGCAGACAGTAGGGCCAGCCCTTTTCGACAAGATCTCGCGAGCCGATGGTTTTGGCGTCAAAATTGACACGAACGGTCTTCTTGTCTACCACGTTCACGTCAATGACACCGTCTGGCCAATCGCCTTTGACAATATCGGCTGGATCACCACGACAAACGAGATCGAGGCTGGAACCTTGATGAGTGACGCGCTCGCACTTAAACTCGGTCGTTCTCTCGAGATGTTTAATTGCATCGGCAACGGAGGTAGAGCTGGTATCGAGGTCAAATTCCGCCCGCGAAAGGACCAGGCTAGTCTTCAAATTGGTGACTGCGGGAAGTGTTGCCAGATTACGGGATAATTTGGTTTCGCATCCAGTGCAAGTCATCCCCGAGATGCTGAGGATCACATGCTCCAATCCAGAAAAGCCCATTTCCAGGTCCATATTAAGGGTTGGGCTGGGCCTGACTTCCCTTTCCTGTGTTACTGTCTTCTTTTCATTGCAGCAGGCAGTAGCGCATACTGCCGGGAAAGATTTCTTGTCGTCACAACAAGTATCGGCGCATTTAGTGAGAGTATTAGCCACCGAAGGTTTTGTGGTTCCACAACAAGCACTGGTACAGGAGGTAGCGTTGATAGTGGAGCATCCTTTAGTGGACCTGGGGCGCGGCTTTGCAGTAGATATACATGCGTCCGCCTTAGACACACCGTCAAAATCGGCAGATGTACAACACGTGACTGAATCACCTAATTTCGCCTGATCACTCTCCAACGAAGATCGTCGCGGCGGCGTACAGCAAGAATCCTGGCCAAGAGTGAGCAGCGTGTGGCAGATACAGCCTAGCCCTTCCAGTTTGGACTGATACTGTTCGTAGGCCCCGCGGACGTGTTTCCGACACGCCTTGCCGTCCTTTCCTCCATCGCAATCCGAGGGTCGATCGGGTGTTCTGTTAGCTATAAAATGCATATATCAGTAGTGGAATGGTAGGGCATGGGATGGAGATTTACACTCAGCGGTACACTTGCGGAGAGCAAGTCGGTCGATACAGGATGAATCGCAACAAGGCAAAGATCTCCCCTCGCGGCAGTTGGAACGCTCTCGGCACTGTGGCTCAATGTTGGCAGGCTTAGAGCAGCAGGAGTCGCCCTCATTTGGAGTCTTTTCGGTTGCGCCAACAAAGGAATTGCCTTCTTTAGTATTCGAATGTTGGTGCGAAGATGAACAGCATTCGTCTCCGCAATTTTTGGTAGAGCTGGCCATAAAGTCGCTTTGGGACTCACAGCAACTATCTGCGCCTCTATCAACCAATGGCAGAGTTGGTATGCGCGCGACGGTAGGAGTGGCCTTGGGCGGGCCGCAACACCCAGAATCACAGATCATAGTGACCATAGAGATACTAAAAGGTTAATCACAAAACAAGATGTGTATCAAATGTCATAGAAGAGTGGAAGAGTAAGTTCTCTTTTGCTTTCTAGTTAGTCCACCAAAGACTTGGCGATGACATATCGATTTTCGCGGTATCCATCACAGTATAGCGATACACCTTTTATGACTACTCTGATTCTTATAGTAGATAGTTCTTGTAAAAAGACAGTCCTTTTATCCAATACCCTTCTATCAACAATGTTCCCCAGCCAAGTGATCTCTGTAATACTAGCTGGATTACTATGATAAACGAGATTGAGACTTTCACCAATGGTTATCTAGGAATGCACTATTACTAATTCGGTAAAACCCTCATAGTCTCAACTCGACCGTGGAAAATTTCGGATCTTCCACGAATACATGCTTGTTTTTTACCAAATCTTCAACATCCCATTTAGAATGCAGAAACCGACCCTTCGTGAATTCAGCCTCTGGACTCGCTAACCAGACTGCGAAAGAACCTGGAAGCGATACGTCATCCGCGATGGGTTCGAACATTTCTTTCGTGACGCCGAATCCTTGGCTAGCAGGTGTAAAAACTGTCCCAGGTTGGAATGAGTGGACTCTGATATCTGGATTCTCAGACTGTAGGTGGCGCATCACTATCGTAGTAGGGTACTGTTAGCAAAATATTCAAGGTGTGTTAGGTGTTTTATAGCCGCCAATTTGTTGAGCAATTCAATGACAAGACTGCGGGTCCGCTTACAGAAAGTGAAGGCTCCTTTGCTAGCCCCATAGGCAGAGATCGCTGGGTTGATGCGATGTGATGCGCTCGAAGACACATCGATCACAGTCTTTTTATGAGATGATGGAACTCTGAGGAAATGGCGGACGAGATTCATATTGCCAAAAACGTTCGTTGAGAAGCAGGTTTCGAGAAAAGGAGGATCTATCCCGACAACTGTATTTGGAGGATGAATATAGGCTGCGGACGTTACAAGTATGTCCGCAGCATGAGTCTTTGCCGCATCAACGGCCGACGCAAACATATTTCCGACGCTTTTACTATCCATGATATCGACGGAATACGTAAGAACCTGGGTTTTAGGATACGATTGGCTGATAGCTTTAGCTGCCTCTTCCAGGGTGTTTGCCCTTCTGGCAACAAGCACAATGGTAGAAGCCTCCGCAGCAGCAAAGTGTTGAGCGATCCCGAATCCAATGCCAGTGGCGCCTCCAGTCACAACAACTGTTTTCCCTGAAGCTGAGAGGTCAGAGCGGGCAGGGTCGATGGCTCTGTAGGTCGTTCTGTGCACTGTCTGGACGAAACTGGGCGTATCTAGCCTTCTGTCAAGGGTGTGCAAGTTCTTCGAGAGATCCTGTGCAGTAAGCGCAGACATCTTGGAGGTGCGTTGAAAAAGTTGAATTTGAAACGGTTTGAGTGAAGAGTTTGAAGTAAGAACGGGATGTACTTGCTGAGGATAAGCTTCACAACTGCTTCCCGGTACTTCTATATGTACCAGGAAAGATCGCAAGAGATTGAAAGTGATTACGATCACAAGCTTGGCAAGCTTTACAAATCCATTCTTTCCTTCGGAACCTATGAATTCTCAATAGCACCAGTTCCCGCACTAGATTCGGAGACTGAAAGAATCCAGTCACTGAATACGTAGTGGCATCATGAACGCACGGTATGCTCTGATGCAACCGATATAACCGGGAAATGACGATCTCTTCCAGCGGTGTAAATCTTCCTAAAAACGGTTAATAGGTTACCCACCTATATGCTAGGCTCTGTATATCTCCTGTTACCGATTGGTTATTGAGTCGTCAATAGCCACATATCTTGATCTTCTGGTTATATCGGTTACATGAAAGGTACAGCCGGTGTGGAGCTCTTGATTTTGTCGCAAGATGTGGTAGATCCTTGCATAGGACAGTACCGAAACTAACTCCGTCCAACAAGAATATCCTGGATATTCCGGACGAAGTCGGACGCACTAAGCTCGAAAACCAGGAAAATGCAAAGTGTTACAGTGAAACTCCTATAGCATGTATAGCGGATAGTAATATAGTTAGATATGAACTGGGCGAGGATATTAGAAGCTCTGGTGTGCAGCTTTGGTATTATTGTGCCAGTCTCTTGGCCCGGTGAGTTGTTTATAGTGCCCTGCAAGGCCTCCTCCAGTTGTTGTATGTATATATTTAATAAATATGAGAGAATGGTGATTAACTCAAATATTATAGAGATAGGTAGAGTGCGACAAATGTAGTGAGAACCATTTATTCGTGCTAGCTGCTTACTTAGTGCACAAAATTTGGAGTATGCTCTATACATCCCCTTCTCGCTTTTGAACTCGTGCAAACAAATTGTACGAGTGAAGCCCAGCTCTATTAATTTGATAAGTATAGATTTTTATCAATAGAATATGTTACTTACCCTGAAACAAGTGTCCAGTCTACATTTGGCTCGGGGGCTTGGAAATCTAAAGATAGGAGAAGAGATGGTACAATCTAAGAGTAACATCAATCTTATTTCTAAGCCCGTTTTTTGTTTAACAACGACATATCTTTCTTAACAACTGCCACGCAAGGTCTGAAGATCGTCAGTAAGTGGCGGCCAGATGTAAGAGAAAGGTATTTTCCAACATACTTTTACCGAGGCATGTCCGGGATCTGAGACCAAATTCCATAGAAAATCGAGCTAGAATCAGGAAGTCAAACGCCGAAGTGAACCGTAATATTCAGAAAGGAACTTACACATATTTGGTTGGCCACGTTCTAACCACCTTTCGGGTACGAAAGATGTCGATTCGGGACCAAAAACCTCCGGCAAACGATGCATAGCGTACGCTGGAGCGCCGATAGTTACCTGAAAACCCTACTTGTAAGCACAGTGAACGCAGAGAATAAAATACTGACACTACATACCCCTGCTGGCACGTGATGGCCGAGTATTCCCGCTCCACCTTTCGGTACCTCTCGAGGTAAGATGCCTCCAATGCTGGGAAGCATTCGTAGCGATTCTTGGATAACCGCATTTAGATAAGAGCATGCAGCGGCCTGTTGCGAAGTGCAAACGATATCCAATTTCCTGTCATTCAAATGCTGATGAAGCTCCTGCATGAGTTTATCGAGCTTATCTCTGTTGTGGATGAGGTGGTAGAAGATAGAGTTCAACAGAGCGCCACCATCGGTACCGCCAGCTTTCAGCCCGAAATCGATGATATGTGCCAGTTCCTCATCTGCGAATATCTCAGACCCCTTGGTAGACTGCACTGCCAATAATCTTGATGCGAGATTCCGTTGATTTGGTCCCTGCTTGGTGCTGTTTGTATCTTTCAGGGCCTGGAATAATGTTTCCATCGTTTGGTCCACCCCAGCTGGCGTGTTTGCTTGAGGAAAGAACTTTCCGGTGATGAATTTCGTAGCTTTTGAGACGTAGAACAATGCTGGTGTCATTCCGTAGAGATGAGCCCGCTGAAGGAATTGTGCCAGTGCGTAGAAAGGCTCATCTTCAGAACAACTACCGATATAGTCCTGATTTTGTCCAAACGTCATATCACACATACAATCTGCGGGGCGTTAGTTGTATCGAATTAGCACTTAGAAAAAGTGTAATACCAAACATAAGCCTTTTAAACCATTTCCCCAAATCAATGTTTTTTCCTTCTGTTTTTCGTATTTGAGCGATAAAGTTTCTGATTGAATCATCCACATTTCCATCCAATTCTCTCAGCCCAGTAGCACTGTACAAATTTGAATACTGCCTCCTTAATTTACCGTGGACACTTTCGTTTTTCTCAACAAAGATGTCAACTTTTGGACCGGGCACGCGGAATGGTTGATAGTAATCGGTCTTCGGAAACGGCGCCGCAACGTTGTAAATTTTGCGAAAAGCAGTGGCATCTGTAACACTCCTGACCACGTCATTTCGTATGAGTTAGCGATTCAAAACTTGATGGCAGGTACGAACGCACAACTTGGACGGGCCTATGCGAACGAGCGGGCCGTAACGCGCATGCAAATCATGCAATGCAGAATGTTCGCTACATGTACGGATTAGACGCACGTGCCATAAATCCGTAATCCGAGCCCAGAATGGTCCTGGGATCCGAGCCAGGGGAGAAAAGAAGAGATTGTATATGATCCGAAATGTGAAGAGCAAAAATAGTACACTGAGAATTGCGAGTGTACACTGACATGTATTCGTTCTGAGATTGTTATACAACAGACTCGATAAGAGTGCCATCTTTGTAGCCTAACCAAGTTCAACTCAAGATATGATTGTCGATTAGAGTATTGTGGAAATTGCACAATGGCATCGTGAGGTGTGAGCTTTTGAATTTCTGGTTAATTGCGGACTACCCGATATTTGGAGATGTCGGGAAATCCGGATTTTAGCTTTTAGATGTTGCCGGACAATCCGATATCTTCAATTATCCACAATATCCCAGCTTAGACCAGTTTCCGATAGTGGAATTTCTTGATTCCGGATTTCTTTTCTAATGCGCTCTCGTGTAGGCGATTGTAGCACTTGTGCTTAGTATAGAACCCTAGGCCGCAGCTATATGTCACGTGTAACCTTACGCTTCCCATAATTAGCCCGAATCTTATAGCACAGCGTAGCGAGTGCCCCCTTAGACACGTTTAGAATTCGTTTACACCTGCTATTTATTTTCTATATGTAGCTCATTGAGCTATGTCTTGTAATTACCCTTACACGTGCTCTTTTAAAACGAACTCGTGTTCACGTCTGTACGTCCCCCTGACATCATGGTATTCGAAGAATAGTGGAGACACTAACTATGTCTAGTGTGTTATACCTTGATCCTTGCCAATCGCGCGGGGCACAATCGGAAAATCCGATGGCTGTGCGAGAGGAAACGCTGACGAAGCGCTGCCAGAACATCCAAATTTCACGACTCGTAATCACCCCTCTGATAGGATTTATTGGTATCGAAAACCTCTGTGACGTCTTGAGGAGATACTCCGTGCATCAAAGAATGCAAAGAAGGCCATACATGAACAGCCAATGATGCGAACTTGACGTGAGGCTTGCGTGGTGCAATTCTTGTGCAGCTCCCAAACGGCCCTCAAAGGACTAGTCGTTGGTGATTCGCCTTTAGCGTCGGAATATATAACGAGCATATCATATGAAAAATTCACAGTATGAAACCTCACACCTACATCCAGCACACTAAACGGAACTCCATACCATGAATCACCCGCCATATGAAAGACATCCCCATCATGCAACACCCGGAACAGGCACCGGCCCAACCGGCCCCTCACTCGCCCCGATATTCGCTTGATGCATACTCCTAACCCCCCAATGATCCGGATAATCCACCGCCGAATGAAACAGCTGATAATTCGCCCATATAATCACATCCCCCTCCTCCACCCTCGGCAACAGCACATACTCGGGTTTCAACACACGCTCCTGGATCGGCCGCAGCCAGTCGCGTATCGCAGCCACGTCATCGACTACAGTCGGTTCTTCGTGCGGACTGGAGCGGAAAAAGGCGCGGCGCACGCAGATGCCGTGGACCATGAAGGCGCGCTCGTGGGTGACGGGGTTGAGCCAGACCATTGGGTAGCGTTTTACGTGTTTTTCGTCGTAAGGGGGGAGGTCCGCGAGGGGTTTCTCTTTGCCTTGACTAACGACCCCGAGGCCGTTGGGGTGGCCTTTGCAGTCGCTCATCCATTGGTAGGGGTGCGGGGCGTATTCGATCCAGGAGTGATCTGCGAGGTTCTTCTCTTCTGGGGTCATCATGTTGTAGGTTTGTACGTTGCTTATGAAGGCGGTGAGACCGGGTTCTGTTTCCAGGGTTTGGCCGCTACCGTCGTCCCAGTGGATGGTCAGAGTGGGAGCTGTGGGCCGTTGGATGCACCGGAGCGTTGTGAACCAGGCTGGATCGCGGGCGTAGAGGGGTGCGTCAATGTGCCAGCGTTGGAAACGGGTATGACCGGCTTCGTATTCTTCGTCTGTGGGAGTGTTATCGTGCCATGCGTGAAAAATCCCTTTCTTGAGTGTGATGTCTCTAAGTCCATAGTGGTCTTCTCCTTGATAGCCCTTCCCAATGAGACGGACATTTTCTGCACTGGGTATACCCAGGACGTCTCTCCCTTTCTAAATCCTGGGTTAGAGAAGCGTTGCATCTGATCTCTACCAGGTTGAACATACTGACAGCAGCCCGCCCTGCTTGCTAAATGTTTTTACGTCGCCATGAGAGTGAAATTGTGGAGCTTTGGGGTCGAATCGAGTAACGAGCTCCCACTGCTTGATAGGTGCAAGGCTCTTCTGACCCTTTACAATTATGAGTTTGTGTGTCCAAATGGCATCAGACAACGCCTTTACGTCAGCATCTAGATACAATCATTAGATCGTCTCAATAGTTTTATCAATACATCCTTATCATACCACTCATGTTTCCAAGATCGAGGTCTTCAACCACTGCACCAAAGTTGTATTTCTCATTTGCGCTCTTCTTCAGCTCTTTGATCTCAAAGGTCGACTCAGATGCTAGACGGCCGGGTGACATATTTGAAGTGATTTTTTTTCTAATTGGCCAATATACGGGAACTGCTCTTTTTCCAGGCGTCTTCAAGAAAGAGAGGATGAAATTTGGTTTTGCACGAAATAGAAAACAGAATTGATGTGTTGGCGCCGCTTTAGCGATTCAAATGTAGAGTTGTCAATATCTATATGTCTCGCGCGATGCGCGATTTCCGTTTTTCCGATGCCACTATGCTAGCTGCCCTCAGGCACTCTGAGTGTTATCAAGGCCTTATCTAAGCTCCTATCAAACGATCCTGCATGAAGCTGCAGATCCAAGCAACAAACGCGTGGGGACAGTCGTGTTACAGGGTCCCTGATCCATCGTTTGCGGAGGCGTTATCTTATCAGCATTCTACTGTTCGGCCGAATACCACTCCCTCAGCTCACTAACCCCGGCAGATAATTCCTATGCCAACGCATTTGGGAAGTATCTAAGCACTCCGTCATTACTGATGGTTATCGAGTTACCATGGGGATGTTTCTATGATAGCGTTGACGTAGGATTAGACACGAGTATTTTTAAGTTCACTCAGTTTACTGCATATTCCATAGTTCAGTAGTAGTGTTGTTAGATGCCTCACAAGTTTGGTAAATCGGCATAGTGATTCAGCCCATTCTCGAGGTGAATGCGCGACACAGATAAAAAGCGGATTGTCTATTTAACTTAGAGATCAAACTATAGATGATTGACTGTTCCCGCACGATTGACTACTTTGAAAACTAGGAATCAGCCTGGATAGTCATGATGTTGTCACTATCGTGGTTGATGACGACATCGGTTGTGCCCGCATGGTCAAGTTTGGTAAAGTCGACCAAGCAAGCATTCTTTGACTTCTTTACATAATCGATGATCTCGCCCTCTTTAAAGTCACCAAAAGCGACGTAGAACTTGGATGACGGCTGGATCTGATAATCCGCGTTGGGCTCAGGCGTGAAAATGGCGCAGGGGCCGGCATTGGGGCCGATGCCCTGAGCTGATCCGGCAAGACCGATGAAGAAGTGATCTGTGAAATTGTCAATCAGATTTTTGTATATTGTGGCAAATATATGGAGCAAACAGACCTTTTTTCGCCTGGGAAGCGTTGAACTCATCCGTGGTGATGTTGAAGGCCTGGACTTGGCCTTGGTTTGGGTGGTCGCCATCGTCGAATTGCGGAATTCCGTCCTTGACCACATAGTTCAGGGTTGTTCCCTTTACTTCGGTCTTATCTTTGTTCAACTTGCCCAGATCAACCTTCTTGGTACCTGAAACCATGACATCAACACCTTCGCCCGGCGTGCCAGATGAACTACCGAAGACGGCGTAATATTGTTTCGTGATTTTGAATTCAGTCCTGGTACTATGGGCGGCATTGGCACGTCCAAATACATTGGACCAGATGATCGGCTTGATGCCACCGGCCGCGACTTGAGGTGGCTCTGTGAAGAGGGCATACCTTCGGTCTTCCCCCGAGTCGTTGTTGATGGTAATAGTGTAGACAGTAACCATTTTGAATAAAGAATCTTTGAAATCTGATGTGCTGGTGTAAACGAGTTGGACTGGAAGTCAATATATGAGTTGTAGTGTTGACTTTTTGTGATGCTGGATTGAAGCTGGCCCATGTCAGGTCCTTTATACACTTGATCAAGGCGACTCTGAATATCTCGAGCAGGCAATCGATACGAATCTGCTATAGCAGTTTCTAGCATGTGATACGCCACAGCTAAACAGCTCTGTCGAATTGTCAGGGAGGCCGATAGTACAACTCAGCTTTGCGACAAAATGCATGCACATCGGTGTGATAGCGTTGGCCAAGATTCAAGCTGACGCGACGCCTAGGCAGCGTGAACTCCATGGAGTACTGGTGAAGGCGAGTTGAGAAGCAGCAATGGTCAATGGGGACTAAAGTGGCTGACTGAGAAGCGAGTAGCTGAGACATTCGGTGAGCCTGGCCTGGAGGCTATGTGCATGTGTCACTGCAGGATGCATGGCGAGGGCTAAGCACGGACAAGCATCCGCGGGCCGCCATTGCATCGCTTAAGCGAGACTGAGGGAAAACTACATGTGGTAGTACCATCCACATGCCTTAGCCTATCGCTCAGTTCTGCCTAGTAAGGGAAACTAATCAATAGGGCCAATGCTCTTGCGATATGGACATGCGAATGGGGTTTTTCTTCTGCATCACGACACTGTTTGTTGCTTCATACCATACCCGTCTCAAAGATGGCCAAAAATACTCCGAAAGTCCAGATGTCTGATGATGAAGCAATCGGAGAGTTCCGTGATAGCTACTCGGTCGTTATCCATAATAATTCAATCTCCAGCAAAAACTACACGCTTTCCGTCCAGCCGCCGCTTCTGGAGCCAAATGATATACCGGTCAATACGCATGTCATCCGCGTAGCTAAAGGTATCCCCGACAATGGTGGCGTCGTACGCTTTGAAATTCCAAACCAGCTGTACGCTATCTGTGGATACAATGATTTGCCAGCCACATCTCCATTCAGTGAAGATGGTACTATGACCGTCATTGCGAAAGCTACTATAGAGGTAGTGGCCAAGGTGCCTGTCACTCTAGGCTCCCATTCCAAGGATGGCACCATTAATGCCGCATCATCTCTGGCCGTCAGCTACGTAGACGAGACGCTATCGTTTGCATCCGCCGAGCTCGTATCCTCGCTAACCATCGTGGGTGGTTTTACGATTA